TTAATTAATTAAATTGTATCATTATCTCCTTATCTACATATTCGTGAATATGACTCTGATGTAACTGACCAAATAATTAAGGACTTGACAACGCGAAACTTTTTCCTGTTAAAATGTTAAGTTTCAATATTGTTCAAAATCAACTGTCATACAGGTTATCCGCATCTGTGCAGGAAAATGAAAGCTTATTGACGTCTGTATTAACAAAAGAGTCATATTAATAAAACATTTATGTACTAAACGATTAAAGTCGGCAACAGATTATAATAAAAATCTGCTAGCGAATGTGTTATCGTGAGGTTTACTCTTGCATATGATAACTGTCTAGTTCCTGGTCAATTGTAAATCCAATGCAATAGCAAGTGGTCGCCGGCCATTAGAACTTCCTGTGCACTTGCTCCTCAGTGAATGGGCGTCCTATCAACCTGCCTAGAAGCCATATGAATGAGTATCGCGTAATGCACAATGAATTATTCGTGCCAGACCGGCTTCCGTTGGCGCCGGACACATGCTCCGTGTTCTGCCTTTTTCTGATTAATGTCTAATTATAGGGTACAGCTCTCCACGATTCCCTATGAGTCAGATGCAATAACTGTATAATACTCGTCGACTTATGTGTATTAATGCACGATTTTGCACTATTTTGGAATCGACGCTGTGGGTGTAGGTTTATTGCAACTGGTATAACGGTCATGTGACGTAAGGAACTTTATAAAAATAAGAGGAAATTGGTTATTTACATGTAACAGAGCAAAGGGCCGCTATTATATTGATGTACACATAACATGACGTAGTTTGATAAATAAATCGACATATTTAGCCGCTGTTTAGAGAATGTAGATGATAAATTTTTTCGTGACTTATTTATTTCGTCTTATGTATATTTTGCCTAACCAAAAGTTCGGTCACAGGACTTCAAAGCTCAATAATTTAGTGAAAATTTAAAAGATGACTGAAGAATTTAGAGATCTAAATGAGTGACTCTTTGATATCCTTTTTTATGTTTTAAATTAAGGTAGTGAAAGTAAAATTAAATCACAAATTCCTATCTATCAATACAATGAACTTATGAAAGAAAAAGTAATAAAAGGCGTCGATCGCGCGCTGTTATTTTTTTACAACCTGTATTTAAGTATCTATAAATATTAAATAAACATGGTTAAAGATATGATACAGAATAACAGAACCTCTGGTCAATGTTTATGATTTTCTGTTAGTAATTTTATTATTCACCAACGACACTAAGCGACCTTTAAACCGGTTTGGATCTTTTAATAAAGACAAAATCTTCGGGGAATTGATTTTTAATTTAGCTTGTATATGACGACCCGGATGCAGTAAATAGTTTGACTCAATCTTTGAAGTTGGCAGGTCACGATTGAAGCACGATTGTCATCTTTGCCCCACCTTATAGCACCTTTGATATTTAATGACGATATGAGCAAGGCTAACTTGAACGGGGAAATAAATATATTGGTTTCCGGTAGAATTGCGAATGATCAACAACTTGCGTATTGTCGATAGTTTTATAAAAAAATCAAAGTAATGAATTTGCTCAGCGACTATTTTTAAAGACAATTAATTCTATGTTTTTAAAGTACTTAATTAAGAGAAGTGCGATGTACAGCCCACACTAGTTGTCATGTGTTAATTAAGATTGAAAGAGCATAATTTAGTCACGATAAGAGGTTAGCGCGTTATCTGGGTACTTTCTAAAGTTAGATGAAACATGTTGTTAACCTCTAGCGGCGAACGGTGGACCACCTAGCCGCAAGGCCGACTAGTTTGCCCGCGTCCCGACCGCCTTCTGCTTGTCCTACTAATATTATTACACTACTCAGTGTCTGAGTCTGTTATGCTTGATTATAATAAGATCATATGTGTAGTAAATTTACCTGCTACAACAGTTTCAGCTAAATTAATTAACTTTAATAGTTGCGTAACAATAAGCACTTTCAGCGCTACAGATACAGTTATATAAAAACTAACGTCAGTTACTTGAAACAGTAGATCCCATAATAAAATCATCGGCCGGAAGTCGATGCGTCATTTCGACGTTTTCGTCTAATTTAGTTTGTGTAGTCGCAACCGTGCAAATGTGTGGGTAGACAATATACACACCAGTAGTTTTTGTTACCGATTTTCAATTTCTAAATACCGTTGTTCTTCTAATGTTATGAGTATCACTTTTCACTATACAAACGTAATGACGAGGTGCTCGACATACAATGAATTGTACGTTTAATAATTTATATAGGGTTACTGATTACATATGTGTGCGTTTATTTACGTATAAGCGAACGCCGACTCGTCCGAGATTCAAATTTAGAACGTCGTCTCCGCCATGTTGTTCTCAGTGGAAACCTATGATCCGTAGAACTCAAGTTGTGAAGACTCAAGCTGTCCTAGCAATTAAAAATAGTGCTAATTAGTCACCTGATAGTCAGTTTATTTCAACGAAACCATAAATAATGCAAAAATGGTAATAGTTAATTACCATCTATAATAAGTAAAATCTCAATTCGGGCTTAATGACCTGTTACAATAAATTTCTCAAATTTTTAATTATACTTAGACCTTAGTATTTCTTTTGTAGCACGCGCCTTGACGTTATTCAATTACGTAATCATTGCAGAGCTGCTTCCGGCCAGATTACAATATATCATCTGTTCAGTTCAAGTGTAAAAGCAGGAAAATCCCATGATCGAGGATGTGCGTCCGAATTGACGTGTATCCGTTTCTGTCCGTCATTGAAGTGTTCGTAAAATAGGTGTTTGCTTTATATTCGACCATATCATTAATTTTTTTAGTTAAAGTATTAAGATCTCATAAAAATTAATTAATTTATTAAAGTACACCATATAATTCATTCATTCTATAGTAGAAATATAATCTATCTATTCTACAATATATGACAAATACGGTAAATATAAAAATTTTATAACATAATAAAAATATTATACTTCCAAAATAGAGAAAAATAATGTATTTAAAAATGGTATTTTTTTCTTAGTAATTTGTAATTACCTATTTATTGATAGATACTTATTGGCGAAATTAGCATTAGGTAAATGATAGTGGCTTAACAACGCTTTTTTAAATAGATAATCCCACTACCGAAAATTATATTCGCAATGTACATTATGTTAAAAAACGCTTTACGTTTATAGGTACAAAATTATTTATAAAGAGTCAAATGTTATAGGCAAGGACGGGTCTAAACATAGACCAACAGTTTGTCTACGTTTGAGTTTTTAACTACTAAATATATTGGAATTTGTTTATCCAGAAACTAACTTTTTCTTGATAAAGAAAATAGCAAGTGGTGCAAATATTTTATTGTGGTATCAGATTTATCCTTCCCGGTACCATACGAACCAAGTTTACGTACTACAGTATTATATATATTACTGTAGGTGTATAATTAGGGGTTATCCGAAAACATTTCTGATAGACAGAATAGAAGGCTGTTATATTGATTCAATTTACACTAAAACATTTTAATCTTTTGCCAAACATGTTTGTTACAAACCCGTATTGAGGTATCGAGAAACTGCAACATTATATTGTGTAAGAGTAGAAGGCCTTCGCAAGAGAAAGATATTTTGTTTCTCAATGCTCTTGTCATCTAGTGATTGTTCACTATGAATATATTATTTTTTTAATATATACTCACGCTGAGTATATATTCACGTGGAAGTCACTCATTAACTTCAAATAGTTATTGAATGTTCTGTATCATTTCTTTTTTTTAAATATCTTCTAGCTAATTCCCTGACTATATTGTCGTCTTTATTCTATAGTGGTATTTAATAACTTATGTATATGTATATCTGAAGTAAATAGCATTGGTAACTAGGTTGATTAAGCACTACTTGATTCTTTTAACAACTTTTTGTATAATATTTACAGCAAATTTTAGAAAGATCTCTTAACCTATTGTTCAACATTATTTCTTTTAAGTTCGTCTCTGCTTTCATTCCCACTTGGTCAATGTTATACCTGTCGTAGCGTTCTTCCATACATTAAACAGTCAGTCAGGACATGTAGTACTGTCTCATCAGCTGTATTGTTACAAGGACAGCCAGCACTTTGTCTAACTCCGAAACCTGTGAAGATACGACAAGAATCCACCGTGACCTGGCAACATCTGTGTAATCAATCCCGTTGGTTTGCACTGAATTTAATTGCTTCCTAATTCCTAGCTTCTTAGTGGCTGGAGCACAAACTACTGTCGCATATAGGATTATGGGCTTGTTGACTGCCGTATAAATAATATGTACGAAACGCTGTAAACACCAGTCATTTCTCGCCGCCTTGGCTATTTTTTTCAAATATTTGTTGCTTTTCTGCATATATTGGAGATATTTTTATTAAAGGTCAAGATACGATCGAGAATCAAACCAAGTATTTTTATTTCATCAGATAGGTTGACGGATACTCCACCCATATTAGCTTTAGTTCTTTGTGGAGCAAATCTGGTTCTATTTTTGGTACCCCAGCCGCAGCATTTGCATGTCGTTCTATTTCAAGTGCCGATTCTCCGACAAACACCATGATCACGTTGTCTGCAAAGGCTTGACAATAGCACCCCCTTTTTTCAAATTCTTGCAGCAATAACTCCAAAAGTGGGTTCCAGAGTATTATTATTGTAACTGAAAGAGTTAGTCAAAAACTATAACAGTAAATTTATTATCGCCGCCATCTCTCACGGTATCTCTCAGTAATACGGCATGTAGTGTACATTATACTCGTTCAAAAATCAATAAAGCTAGCGAAAGTAGTTACTATATTTGATTGAAATCAATAATTATACTTCCAATCCTTAATGTCATTTCAGAATTCGGGCATGAAGCTTTCCATGTAATTCATTATGTTGTCCAAATCGAAACTGTCTCTGCTCGGCCTTCACTTTATAATTGAATCGCAAATATATTTTTTTGTCAATTGTTCAGCCCACAATTACAGGGTGTTGATGAATAATGTAATTGTGTACAAACATGCGCGGGTGCACAGAACGTTTGGTTGATGTTATGCAATCCGAGTCGCGCCGGCAGGCTGCGCTGTAATTACACGCCACTACCCCGCACCCCGCATCCCGCAAACCTACCACCCGCGTTACCTGCGACACCACGTATCAACCACATCTACCTAACTTCAGAGTTAAGCTAGGACTATACAAGTATAACTGCTGTTTCTTAGATGTTTATTGTTTTAATATTATTTGAACCTATGCCATGAATTCTTTTAATTTGCGAGTTATTGTGTAATTTATGGCAGCTAATAATAAGGCTATTCATTGTATTTAATTACACATTTTAGGTATAGGCAAAGAAACATTATAAGGCAGGATAAAAGTTGACCCTACGATCATTTATAAATATCTGCAGGTAGGCAATGATCCGAAAAAAGGGTTTGTAAAAATACTCGCGTGATGCAGGTGCATAGGTAGCAACAGCTGATAGCTGGGCCAAGTTCATTACCGCTCCGTGCAAATCGATTCTCTATGGTCATGCTCCATCAGCTTTCCAATATGCCTTTTCCTTATCTTTCATTTTTATACCTCCATTTCTCTTATCAACCGGTCGCTTGACCACTTCTCTAGTTTATTTAAGCTGTATTCTAATACTTTATTATCTGCCGATCTTTAGTACGGGGCATCCTTTATTTCACTGGTTCGTTCTTTATTTAAACAATTATTTGTGTTGTTGAACTCAAAATTACGTATATTATTGACGTCGGACTGATTTAATTGCAAGGAAAGTAAAATAAGCAAGCGGCGTAGTAACTAACAGCTTCACTAGGTCGCCTGCGCACACGTCGTGCGTCCGGTTTCCTACAAATTGGTCACATCGACCGCTAAGTAGGAAGATTCGGCTTGCAAGGTGTGTCTGAGGCACGTCATTGTATCGCACGAACCTTGCAGTTTTATTATACAGACATAGTATACATTTAGTTTTCGCCACTTTTTAATGAGCTACGAACCGCTTTGTAAAAGTAAAAGCTGTGCTGATTGCCGATTTCTTTTTATAGTGTTCAAAAATTGATTTATGTTTCGGTAACGAGTTATTAATCTTCTGTTTAATGAAAGTGTATTCAGATTTCGGATATTATCTTAATAATTAACTGTGTGTTATAAGAACCTACCGTGTTCGCGAATTTGCACCTCTTTCTCGCTTCAATTATTATTGAGTTGAATCAATCTGTTATCATGAATATGTTAAATTTAAAAACAAAAACAACCCTTCATACATATTCCTTCCTTTCAGATGATCTTCACCTAGATTTGAGCAAAATTTCATGAAACCTGTTTCTTTTACAGCCATATAACAAAGACAACCACATGGGAGGACCCTCGCAAGACATTGGCAGCGCAAACGGTGGCCAGTGGTGTGCAGCATCAAAGCGCGGAAGCCTTACTTACACAGACTCCCTCACCACAGAACCTTCCAACAGCCACTCCAGGTACCTAAGTCTTAAAATAGCTAAATTGTCAGTCAGTCACTAAATCAGGCAGATAATGGCAGATCAATCTAACCGTGTAACCGGATGATCTCATAGTTTGCAAAACACAGCTGATAGTTATTTAAACTACCTTTTATCAACCTACAGCCTCAGTTATGTAAGTTATGAGTTATGAGTCTTAATTTTCACGTGATCTAATTGGCTTTGCAACAGTGTTTAAAATTATCATGAAACTAAAATAAAAACAAGTAAATAACCCAAATTCTAAAACTGATTTTATGACGGGAATTAACGCGTTGTTTCCGTTGGTCGATGCGAGACGAGTGTTGAAAGGCGCCCAGAAAATACATTGGTGTTTCGGCGCCGAAACCGTGGCGCCTGCGCCGCTTTTCAGCGACTTGCGACACATCCGCGCGAGTCAGACATGTTTGTGCTTCTTGCGTTATAGATGTCTACAAATCCTGAGCATTTAGCATGTTCTATGCCGAAATTAGCGTGTCGCCGTTTAAGTGAGCCAAACGCCTTACTTGCCAATATCAATTACAAATTTCCAATCGACACGTGTTATGATTGAGTAAGTTTTGGTGACAGTTGGACGAGGACAGAAATTATGAAAAAGGTTCATAGGAAAATGACTTAATTACATCTATCATTGTTATGTTCTGTTAGTAGGTAATAATAATAATAATAATAATAAACCTTTTTATTTCCTGTTTTATAATAGTTGGTAGTTGCTATAGTATAGTAACCAAATTTGATTTTTGTTAGTAGGTTAGCTTAGATTATGTTAGTAATATATATTATATTATTTATTTATGAATTAACAGGAATCCTGTTTGGGTAAAGGCCTCCTCCAAAGCCCATTTTTATCGGTCCTGTGCTATGAAGTACACAGTTTATGCCAGCAGATCTTTTCAGATCGTCTCCCCTTCCGCCTTTTGCCTGGTGTTCCTTTCCTTGGTGTCGTTGTATGTTATAATATTTAATTGGCGGCTTAACTTTCTGTGATTTTTCGAACTTTTTAAGGTTGAGTTTGAGATTTGTATCTTTGGAGGGTTTTTTTTTGTCGTAATCTTCCACGGTAGTAGGTAACACCTACTTAATATTAATTTCAATAAGAGTTGTAACTTATATCATTTACATTCAAATAGAAGCTACATTTGTAGGAAACGAAACAACTGAATGTATCTGTGTGAATTAGACGAGAAAGATTCAAAATACATTCTCTATGGTAAACATATCCATTGAGAAGTTGTGTTTACTGTTTACCTATTTTTACACAGCGCGCGTGAAGGTTTTCTTTAAATACATTTTATGATATTTTAATAACGACTGTATAGTCCTTCGTTAGCATTTTAATATATATGACACGTCTCTTGTAAATTTATTATTAATAGTAGCGATAGCTTTAGATAAAACGTGACAAGAGCACGTTTTCGAATTTTAGAATCCCTATAGTTAAATCAGAGCAAGTGCCTGGAAACTTATCTCTGGCTCATTGTAGACTCGAGTCAACAAATATTAGCCGTGCAGCCTATCGAGAGTACCTGACACGAATAATGTTTTTGTAGCGCATTCCTTGTTCTAATCTGATGTCGCGATAACATTACCTTTCATATAAAATAGCATTCTCATGACTGATAGTTATTTGTAAGCGGCCTATCTAATTACACAAAGGAGTTTAATATTAACAGTTTTATTACATTCTGCCTTATTAGGTGTACGTTATTTCAAGTCATTGTATTATTGAATAATAATTTGCGAATTACACATAATTGACAATGGCCTCTAAATTACGTGACTCGCTTAGTGTAATGTTCGTTAATATTTACCGCTAATTATAGTAATTGATTAGCATTTATTAATACATTGTAAAGTAAAGTTTCTATGGCTATAAAGTTAATCAAATCGCTATAAATTTCACGAATCCTATTTTCATTTTAATTTTACTAATGTCTTTAAAAGTGTATTTTTTTACAATAATTAGCTGTTGTCCACGATTTTGTGTTAAATATATATATCGAAAAAATTCTAGTTTTTATTTTCCGATACCTCTTGAACTGTATTTTCCAGGTATACAGAAAAACATCTTCCCTCTCTAGAATATTAAATAAGTAGTGCGTGTTAAATTAGCTACAAATGCGGTGATATTAAAAGAACTATTCATTTCATAAATTTCCATAATAGAGATTCAGTACAATTCGTTTATATAATACAATTAATAGTAATTTTTATGTAATTACCAGTTTGCAAAGTTAAGTTGTCTTAGTCATGATGATTATAATTAAATCGTAATTATGCATTATGTATACCGTTCGTTTATGAATGGTCGGTTTTTGTTGCGAACAAAATACATAAATATATTCTTGGAGATGAATGTATGAACGGGTGGAGACGAGAGCGTCCGTTGGCGATGATTCACATTAAGTCTACGGGGTGCTTTTAAGGCGAACTTAATATATAGTTGTAAACTTTATGCCATGAAGACAAGCGAATCGCTTCATAGACTATAATAACGCACGTTTTATTTGAAAGAACATCTCACGTGACAAGCTAATGACGCTTCATCAATCATACAGACGAAAAATATTGATTAACAAGCATCCACTGTATGGGTACTACCGATATAATTATCATAGAACTATGCTTCCCACGAATAAAGCCACTGAGGCCTTGTTCTTGACTTACACTAAATATATTACTTATATATTTAACGACAATTCCTTCACCATCATAGGATCATTTGGGGCTAGTCAGTTTTTATCGCGCGTTACTAAGTTCCAAGTTCTTACGTAATAAATACACTATGTTCAACGTGTACAGTGTACACGCTGTATAGTGTAAAAAGTAACCAGTTGAACGAAACTGAATGTTGTTCAAAACACGTCCAACAAAAAGCACGAGCAAACTTGGATGGCGTAGCGTATTGGCATGTTTTCAATTGATCACGTAAACTACTCCGGCTATACCTACTTTCCTAAGAAGTGGCATTGCTATGATTCCGTTGGCGTTGTTTTCGTGATTTTATTGGAAGAGGCATGACCTTCCAAACTTGAGAATCACGCGCACGTTATATTTACCGCTGGCTTGCAACTAGTCGCTGTTGAGAAATTCAAATATTTTTCAAAGTTTTTCTATATTAACCAGGGCATTTGATAATTTCAGCAGCGAAGAGTACAAGTACCTCGGCGACGACGGACCCCCTAGGGCCGTTGCCGGACGGCTGGGAGCAAGCCACCACTCCTGAGGGAGAAATTTATTTTATAAACCACGCCGCTCGCACAACGTCTTGGTTCGACCCTAGAATACGTAAGTATATCGAATTCGCCGATTCGCGTCTTCTCTTTTTAAGCGTCAAAGGTCTAGAATATGTATCATAATACGAACAATACCACCATAAATACTGATTATGAGTAAAGAAAAGACACAATGATATTACGTATACACGAATCGAGACTTTTTCTGTTATTACAGCGCAACATTTGCAACGTACGCCGGCTGCGAATGCCGGAGCGGCGGGCGGTGGGTGGGCAAACGCATCGGTCCAAGCATGCCAACAGAAACTGCGTCTACAGTCATTACAGCTCGAGCGTGAACGACTGAAACAGCGCCAGCAGGAGATACGGCTCCAGGTACTTTACTCATTAATCATTGTAATCCACGTTTTAGGCTACATTATTCTTTCACATCACAGTTAATGTGTCATACACTTCTTCTTATCCCCTGGGAGTCCAGGGTCCCACTACTGAGGAAGTTTATCTAGACTGAACAGAAATCGGGCCTGTATGTTGTTTAATTACAAAATGTCCTAATTAGATCTATCTAGTAAATCGTTTTAATGCGAATGAATTTGCATTTGCATTATATTTCATTTTTCATCGTACATTGTCAAAGCAGAAATAAATTCATAAAACTTGTGTAGATAACTAATTTATGGTAAAATATTACAGCAAGAATTAATGGCGCGGCAATCTTCATCCATCGTGTCTTCCTTGACAAATAGTACCGCGGCGAGCACAGACCTATCTCTGGACCCCTTCCTCCCAGGTCTCAATGACCATCAACGTCAGGAGTCAGCTGATAGCGGCCTGGGCATGGCCGTGTCACAATCCTACTCCATGCCCCATACTCCGGAAGGTTTTTTGGGCATGGATGACCGCATGGACTGTACCAGCGAGGCCGGCGCTAACCTCGATACAGATATGGCATTGGGAGACACGGATGATTTGGTAATAATTTAAATATGAGTAAAGGTTATGTTATATGTAGTGGTGGTGAGAGGTGAGGTGATGCTAGTTACTATAAACGTAAAAAGATTTTAATTTCAGTGACAGGATAATTTTTGCGATTCTGGGGCACAGGCACAATGGAGCAAACAAATTATTAAATGACATTTATAAGAAATATAAATTAACCATTTACAACAGGGCTTTACAAAACTTGTATGAAAGCCTGCATAACAATATATATTTACGGCAATTTATCATAACATACACATATCTTAATAGGTGGTATTGATACATCTTAATTCAGAAAGCAAAAAAGGTTTGGAAAGCATGTTGGATGTTCTCCATTTCAAAAAATATTTACTGAAAGAACGGATTTCTCTACTCGAAACATACCTTAATATAGGTTTAAATTAGGCAGTAAATATCAATGAATTAAATTTCAAATTTCTTTCAGTTGGGTGACTTCACAAATGACATACTTCTGGACGATGTGCAGTCGCTGATCAACTCCACGCCAAACAAACCAGACAACGTTTTGACATGGCTTTAGATTGATATTCGTTGGACGCTGAACGTACAATTAATACAATGTGTTTTCTATAATCAAATTTTACACAAAATAAAACATCGACAATAAGAACGGCTCAAAGTGACAAATCGGTAATACACCAATTGTAATTCGTAAAATGACTCTAAATTGAAAATGGGCTATTCAGTTTCTTTACAATTGCTAAAACATCCCGGCATTTATTAAAATGGGATGTGATTAAAAGCCACATTCGATTGGTGTATTTCCTAAAGTGTAATATTGCGTTGCTAATCAAACTAGGTAATGCTTGTCGTACAAAAATCGCAAATTCATTAGTATACATTTTATAATCTGTGGATCATTAGATTAATTCATGTTTAGTTCGAAAAGTTAGCCATTGTATGATGGCTCATTTGTAAATATATTCATTGAATGGATTCTGAACTGGCCCCCGGTTTTGAGCGGTGTTAGCATTTGCTTCTTTCTTCAATGAAAGAAATCATTTTGCAATTTACTTGTAAGCAAGGTTTCTATGCTCTTTCAGATAAGACCGTTAGAAATCCTTCTTCAAATAGAATAGACTATTGTTAAGATGTCGAAGATAACAGAATAAATTTCATTAACGAAATTATGGCCCGTATTCAAAAACGTTTCTCAAGGTATTTCTAAATGACCGGTCAAGAATATTTTCATTAACAAAAATAATGGACAAGTTGAAATTACGTTTGAAACACGTTTTAGAGTGCGCCATCGATTGTGATACCATCTCGACGTAACAGTGCCTTATTGTGCCTTTTAAAATGTATTTATTGTGTTATTTAGGTAATAGTTATAAAGATATATTTCTACAAATTTTTACCGATCGATGTTCATCGATTAATGTATTATTTGGACATAATTAAACTACTTATGTATGTGTTGTAGTAACGTTTTTTTGTCTACTTACACCGTCCTTGTGTATTTTTCGAGATTATGTTAGATGTAGACTTAATTAATCGTAACTTAGTTCTTTTGGCAACTATTAAGTTTATAGATAATATTTGGTTCGAAGTGGACAATGTATATGTATCTAAACGTTTGTGTGTGCGGGTGCTGCTAGAAATATTAACAAAATATGAGATTTCGACAAAACCGTGCATCGATGGTGGAAATATACGTGTACATGTTTGTATGATTGAAATGCCCTGCTGTATGCTTTACCACATGATTTTGTATTCACCAAACAACTCTGTTCGTTATATCCAACGTATTTACAATTCATTGGTTTAGGCTTAACTTCAAAATTACGTTTAGCCCACCTAGTATAGAGTTTGTATAAATTCAATAATAAAATTAGGTCTTTATTTTTCGAATGCTACATTGAAAACTTTGCCATATTAGTAAATGTACTATCTTTGTAAGACTAATGTAATCGTTTATAAATAGTTTAAATAGCAACTGTGTAACTATTATAATTAGTTGTAACGGTGCTGGGTTTATTATACATTTTATTTTGTAATCTGTAGATGTCTTGTTGTATTTGTCGTATATAATTTCTTGTTAAGTTACGCTTTTCATATTGTTCAGTTTATTATTCTGTATTGCATGTTTCCTTAACTTAGATTTTAGCTGAGATGACTAAGTCTTTCAATGTTAATAGCTTCGTATTCGCTTAATTTTTAAGAAATAATTCATTACACTGCAATGTGTAGCCAATAGCGATAACTTAGTAGGTTTTATTAAAATGTTTACATCTGTCTTTTCGAAGTGATAACGACCAATTCAGATAATTGTTATAAAAATTGTACCTAAACTGCAAAAATACAAGTTTACGATTATGTAGTGAATGATACTAGATATCGTACATATAATATAGTAAAATAGTTTTTTTGTTAGCGCCTTTAATACTCAATCAAAATATAATTATATACAATACATAGACCTACTAGGTAGTCGCTACTACAAAACATTCCATGTTGCTTACCATCGCGTCAGTTCGGTGCTTCTGGCTTGAATAATTTTCCGAACAATATATCAAGTAAATATTTCTAAGTATAGCCTTAATACATACATATCTTTCAGTCTGACATGCAAGTTTTCACTGTAGTGTACATTACATGAGTCAATGTTATAACAATGAAATTTTTTCTCCGATTTCATTGTATATAATTTGGTATATGAATTAAATATTTGTTTAAATATCTATTGTTATTTTTATTTCTTGCTCAGAGATCCATTTTTATGCGTTGCTGAAATCAAATTATCACTTATATAATAAAGGTTATGTGTGCCACAAGGCAAATAAATAAACAAGATATATTTTAAATAATATATTTACATTGTTAGTAAAATATAGATAATAAATAAATACCCAGTTAGTTTCTTAGAAAAAGCAGATTTCCTGTTTCACCTTTGTTAATAATTTAGTACCGCCGTCTCTCCTGTTAAAAGTAATAAACACTAATTATATAATAAGAATTATTTTTGCCATATTGCTAGTTGAAGCTAGTAATTGGTATCAAAGGAACTATAAACATCAAAGCAACAGTAGTTACTTTAAACTGTTATGCAACGTAAATTACCCGGCTCAAAGACTAGACTGACCAAGGGCCATGTGACTGCGTGAACAAATGTCATTTCCATATTGTTCAAGTCGCGTTAGTGGGTCACGTCTATCGCAAAGGAATTTTTTCATAGCCACGCAAAAATATTGCTTGGTGTAGTAGTCTCATTTGGATAAAATTCCAAATAATTCAATTTACAACTATCAAGCTTTTTTTAATTAAAGCAGCAAGCAAATGTTAGTTATATGCTTTATAGGTACTTAGCTAGTATTAGTGCTTAAGTACTAATAAAAAAGTATGTTCACTCATCATCTCATTATGTATGTCTTGCCAAAATCGTTCTTTGGGAATGTTGCTAAGACATTTCTGGATCTTTCTTACTAATAATTTTTAACTCCTGTCGCAAAAAGAGGTCTTTTATCAGTTTGAAGAGTGGCACTACGTGTGTACAGTGTACGCACATCGTAGCTCCGGTAAATCGAATTGGATGCGGTTTTCTATTCTTTAGGTGATCAGCCCTTTGTGCCTGGCGCACATAGATTTTTTTGATCTAAGACTTTCTTCACAATGATTTCCTTCACCGCAAGCATAAGTTTTACAGTGCGCTCATTGTAAGAGTAATGGATTAGTGGACAGCCGGAACACAAACGCACGACTTCAGAGTTGAGGTATATAAAAAGTTGGAGATTTTAATATTTTATACGAAAGATTTTCTTACCGAAGGTTTCTTGAACTGTTCGTCCTGCGGTAACTCGCGGTTGGCGATCAATTTCTTGTAGTACTCAGCGGATAGCTTAGCTGTTCTTGGCCGAGCTGGGTCCGTGATGTCTACGTGGTAGAAGCCAAAACGCTCTCTGAAGATCAACCAAGCAGTAGGTAAATACAAAATAAACTGATCTCTTTTCAACATAAATACTCGTATAATTAGAAAGAGATGAAAACGTACTTTAGCTAAAATAGTATACTTAATAAGAGTAAGATTCAAAGCGACTTTAGTTATGAGAGACGAAAAAAAGAACCTATATATATTTTTTTTCTAACTATATTTTAAAATAACTAAGAGAACGGTGAGACCGACATGGCGACCACTGCGAATGATGTAACGCTGCAAGCAAATTTTATGGATGTAAACAGCAGCGCCCGTACTCTGTAAATTCCAATTGTGACAGCGATACTGATCCCGACGTATTTGTATGCAAGTTCGTTGTAGTTATCTCAATATCGCGCGAAACATAAACTCATTATTGACATCGCGATCGCTGTCGGTGCCGCTATTAGAAGTACAGAGTAAGAGCTGTGCAATCGAACATACACTTTAAAAAAGTAGTGAACTTTACAACGTAACTTTGGAAATCCTGGCCCGATTTCGTTGAAAGAAAAACAACATGGTATCATTTCTATTAGTACGCCCATGAAATGTAGGTATGTAGTTTGACGAGTAGGTGTGATGGGTAGTACTTAATGTATATATTTTGCGTATCATTTGTAATTAAGCAAATAAATTAGCATAATCCGACAAGGACACTTACGAGAATCCAGCTCTCCATTCGAAGTTATCCATTAGAGTCCACGCGGTGTATCCAAGCACTCTCACACCATCATCGTTAATCACATTCAGTATAGCTCCCAGGTGGTCCTAAAACAAAAATTTCATTAAACTTGGGCGATAACAGCCCACGGCACACTTATATTGAATGTTACGGGGAAAAGGTACTACTTATTATATGTAGATTGTATATTTAATACAAATAAGTTTTATGCAATTTATCTGATCGAAATCGAATTGAAAAGAACAATCAGTCAAGTAACATAGACGACGTGACTTCGTGGATGGATCCGCTACTGATCTTCAAAATTATAATCTTTTTATTATAATCATATAATAATATGTATGTTAGAGTTATTTTTGAGGAGCGCTGGGCATCAGTGTGCCTATTATATGATGTTAGATACTGTTTAATTGGAAATAGCTGATGAATTAAAATTATTTTGACCGCAAACTTGTCCAAAAACTTTCAATTATTACAAAGACAGGTAGTGATATTTTGAGTCAAATATACGTGCGGCAATAATATTTTAGTAGTTATGTAAGCAATGATTGCTAAGTTACTATAAGTTATTTCATACTTAAAGTTAGTTGCTGACATAATACTGATAATTAATATGAGTAATTTGAGGTTGTTGGGAGGTAATTTCTGCATCTACCGAACGAATTTTGAAAATTCTTTTAGCAAAAGAATAGTGGTAGTTGGATTTGCGATGAAATAATGCTGGCACGAGAACGTTTCTTACGAACGCTGCCTTATGTATGATTAAGTTCAATAGAAAAGTTGCAAAGCTTGATAATGCCTTTAGACAAGTATGCGATAGCATATAAAAAGTATATCTTAATATATATATTTCTTGTGTGCGTGTGTATGTGACTGAACTTCTCTCAAACGACTGGACCGATTTTGATGAAATTTTTTGTGTGTGTTCAAGGGGATCTGGGAATGGTTTAGATTCACAAATCAGCCCGGCAGATGGCACTGCAGTCGGTACTTTCATACTTTGCTTAATATCCTAATCGCTTTAAATATCATGCAGGACAACGTCTGTGGGGTCCACTAGTATTATATAAAAGCTAGCCCTACGCCGCGTTTCTCTGACTATATGTTCCCGATTAAATAAAAAATAGCGCACGTAATTTGTTGCGAAGTATATTTAGAAGAACGTTTAGGTATATAAATTTTCAAAGGTTACGGGTAAGGGTAGCTTGTGCGATGCCTGGTCGCTAGTAATCTACATATATTTATCTCACGTTAAAGTATTTGATGCGGTCGTAGTCTTCCAAAGTCCCGCGGTCTGAGTAGCCATTTTCTGTGATGTAGATTGGTGGGTCATTGTAGCTGCTCTTACACCAACGTAGCAGGTTAGCGAATCCTGTAGGTACCACCTAAAATGACAATATTTAAAAGTAAAACGGTAGATCTCTTAGAGTAGCTAATTAAAGTTGTTAAGAAATAACGACCAATGTTATGCTACGAAGGAAGGAAGGAAAATGTTTCAAGTGGAAGGTCCTTACTACAAAAGCAAGGTTGATTTTTGAACTTGATAACGATTCACAATTCGCTTATGATAATGAACGTCTTTTGAACAATAATTAGCTACAGCAATTGATTGTAATGTTCATTTTAATTCGTTCTAAGCATAAAAATAAAACCGTGTCATTATAATAATTCAATTGAGATAACTGTTAGCGATAACATCGCCCGCTTTCCTTTTATTTCGTACTGTCTTCTCGTTGTGTGGCATTATAATACATAATTCACTTACTCGGAACCACTCGGATGCAGTAGCTTCGCCAACTTCTAAAGACGTAACCGCTCCGATGTCTTTCAACCAGGATGGCGACTTTGCGATAGGGTCAACTCCTGGGCCCGTAATTAGATGGGTAGTGTAGTGGTTAATACCGAGGAAGTCTGATGTCCCCTTAATCCTTTCAATCCAGTAATCGTCGAACTGTTCTAGTCTGGACTTGGGCAAACCCTCGGCTTGACTGTTTTGAGCGACGTTTTCAATCATCACTGGTGGATAACCGCCTTCTTCTGTGAAGATAGGGTGTGCGAACCAACCGAACTGTAATAATATTTATTGCTTTATGTATACGGCAGACTATACAGGATCGCCTCATAATTATATATTTATTTATTTTTTTCGCATTACACTACACAAAATATAAGACTAAATGAAACACCTACTGATAGAACAAGAAAAAGTTATTGTTGTAAGTACTCCAGACTTAGACTAACACGCCTATCCGATCACACTAAACCGATGTGAGATGCAGTATGCGTTCTGTCCCGCTCTAACGCGTATTGGCCGCACCTATATTACGTCATAGTGTGTTAGGTTTATTTCGTTACGGAATTGCTTGACTCGGTAGCCGCGCTCGAAGCCCGCGATAAAATCTATGCAATAGCTTAATAAAACACAATCGCATTATTAAAAACCATTCATCCGTCGATTACAAAAATCTCAACTTTATTAATCTATGTTTTGTAAAGTTCTTATATTCTTCTGAATATAAATTTTAATAATAAATAATATTATATAATAGTAGCTTCTTTGGCTCACGATTTTGTGTTCACTTGAAAAATTCGTATACACCTACAATTAACAATGCAAGCATTTTCTAAAATTACTAATTAAATACATTTTTTAAATAACATTCTAGGAAAAGATATTTGTTTCTTTCTTGCTTATCGACCTAGATAAAAAGAATTAATCATTTAATTGTTGGCAATTTTGTCACTGGAAATTATCATAAAGGCATCATTATACAATAGTACGATTACTAGATACGTATTTATTAGTTTTTTAGAAAATCTGCTGTATGTTTTAATATACTTATTGCAAGTCAAAGATCAGCTACAAAAGGTAACGTACATCTTTTCCTTAAAAAATTTAATCTGACACCAAGACGTATTTTCCTATAAGATATTTTAAGTAATTACCTTAAATTGATTGGCTACTTCAGCTAACGCCACTTGTTCTGGGTCATTTGGATCTGCAGGCTCATACCAGATAGAGTTAATGGAGATCATGATTCTACCATTTTGTTTTGGCCTGTAACTCTCGTTGTATAAATGGTATGCCTCAGCATGGGACTTCAATAGATTATCACTACACAAGTAGTTCCCAACACCGTGACTATCAATAGCTGGAGCTTTCTTGATATCACCGTAAGCATCTTCACAAATTTCGTAAGGCTCATTGAAGGTTATCCAGGACTTAATTTTGTCTCCGTACTCTCGGAAGCAGAAATCGGCGTACTCACTGAAGTATTGAATAATTTTAGGATTGGCGAAACCACCTAAGTCCTGAAGGGCTTGAGGTAAATCCCAATGGAACAGCGTTACCTGTAAGATACATAAATATTTGATACAAGCAGTAGTCATGGATTTCCATTTTGTTACGATATTTCTGAAGCGCCATCAGTCTGGCACTAAATGTCATAGTTATCTATAATATAAAAATGAATCCCTATTTCCCTTGGCCACGGCATCACGCGTGAACGGCTGAACCGATTTCGCTAATTCATTGTTTGTAGTGTTTATTATTGTCAGGAAAATTAATAAATTTGCGCGGAAAATTAGAAAATTTAAGAATGCTTAACCACCCTACAATTCAAACTTTTTTGATACAACCTATGGCGTTTGACATTTGATAGAATGCGTGCTGCAAATATAGATAAAGAGGATGTAAGAAAAATTAATCGGGTCCGCTAGTATATGCATAAACATTGAAATGGGGTCAACGTTTAAAAAGTGAAAGTGTTACTTACTAACGATGCATTTGCATCTTTAGACATAATTTATCCTCTTATGACTTAGGTACGGAAATTCTTATTAGTTATTTTCCCAAGATTAAAGAACATAGAGGTAATAGCGAATGTTAATTTTGACTTTTTTAGTGTAACATCCATCCAAGTCACAAGTAGGTTTAAGATTACAAACTGTCTAACCTAATATATATATAAATTAATGCCCGAGAAGTATCTGAATTCTATTCGCGGCGATATAAAGAATGTTACCGGTTGGAAGGTATAGAAGGAATAATAAAACATTTTTTTTATTTTAGATACAAAATAACTTACCAAAGGCTCTATATTCTTTTCAGCAAGAGCATCGAGAAGATTGTGGTAATATTGCACACCCTCAGGATTGATTTGGTCGACGCGACCCGTAGGCAACAATCTTGCCCAAGAGAATGAGAATCGGTAGAAGTCTACGCCAAGGTAAGCCAGTTCCTCAACATCTTCTAGATATCGGTTGTAGGAATCGCAAGCTACATCACCGTTAGTACCGTCAGCTACCATCCATGGTTTGGTATGGGTTAAACGGTCCCAAACATTTTCAGATTTTCCTGCAATACAACATTTCGTACATAATTTCGTATATAGAATGGGGTACAAAGGTTTTGCAATATTTGAGTACGCTCTGAAACATTAATACCGAACCAAACCTGTTATATCTAGAATTGACGTTAACAGGGTATAAATTTATGATTTTAATTTTCATTACAATTCACCTTCTGAGATACGACTTAGGATGACATAAGTGTTTTAAATTCAAGTCACGTGTATCTTTTGAGGTGTGTTCAGTGACAGCGTACTTAATGTTTATCAGTATCGAACAATAATCTATTTTTACATCTGTCACACGAGAGGAAAGGAGATACTACATGATTGACGAGCAAGTTAAAATCGATATGTTATATTATCGCTTAGTGACATCGTGTTTAATATCTATTCGAAAACACTTATTTCTAATCCGATATACACTCCGTTTATATTTTTTGTACTCTTGTCTAGGTGGCAGTGTTAGTCGCCCGGAGAAAGAATTAAGTTGCATGAAATGGTTATACCTTCTTAAATCGTGTATTAAAGATCTTGTTACCATAGTATTAGTATGTAATGGTAAAGTGTTCGTGTGAACGGTCTATGTAATAAATGGTAACATGGTAACAACCACGGTATGATCCTTAATCCAATTATAGAACGGACATGTTTACTTGTCTGTACTCCGGAAAAGTAAATATACAAAATAAAGAGAATGAAATGAATTAAGTAATAAGAATGAAATTATAAAAGAAAATAGGTCTAAATATTGATGACTATTTTTTATAATGTATCACTCACCGCTGACGTTCCATGCTCCCTCGATTTGATGGGCTGCTGTGGCGACACCAAATGTGAATCCCTCAGGAAATTTGGTGTAGTGTGCTTGGCTCCTGTCACAAAAACAAATTATTAAAATCAACCAATCGACCCAAGGTTTCAAAAAATCATATAAATTCGTTTTTAAAATATATTATTTATATTGTTTTAATGACTAATTTATTACAATGAACTCACGCGTGAACTTAAAACAACATCTTAGTTAAAACTTGTATTATAATATTTTATTAATTTAAATATAAAAATGGCAATATATATCATTTATGCAAACAACAAATTGATTTTAAGACATTGAATATTCAACATATTTATTCATAATTATACAAATTAAGTTGATAATGTCTAATAATGGTGTTATAACTTACTGGTGTTATAAAACTTTATTATATTATGTGTTAGGTGCTTTAATAACATTTTATTAACCCGCTAGTGAGAGTTTTCGATGTTGACTGACATTAACTTGTTCTGTATCCACTTGCCTTAGTTCAAAAACAAACCAGTCTTATCAGCTGTTTTGTGGCTATGGAAAGTAAGCAAACATGTACTTACGCGCAAGTGACTGCCACGAGGACGATAAAATGAGACCAAGCCATCGTGCGTTGACGATGCCACTCTCCCGCGCACTGCCGAGCGCCTCAATACTTTTCCCTTTTAACGTTGACATTTCGTATCTCAAGTGGCATAGCTTCAGATAATGTCAAAATACTATATAGATCCGCATAAGAATTTGCTAGGGCCTATCTATTTGAAACATTATATAATCACCCTTTCTGGGGAGGCTCTAATCTGCTATCTTTAAAAATATCTGTAGTTGGGTGGATTTGATAAGACATATTCACGTAATAAGGAAATACTTTTGCGAATTATCAATACCTTTGATACGAAATCTTAGAATGAAAGAATCTTTTAAGTTTCATCAAGTAAGCCCTGCATAACACAGAGATAGTCCACAGAAGTAGCGAATGAATGGGCAAGTAATATAGCTCGAGTGAGAACTTCGCGGACTTTCCACGTATCTGATGGGCTGAATGGTCGAAATACGAACGATAAACCACGTTTTAATATTCCGATTGGTTGAAATCGTTCCGGTTGATCAAGCCACCAACTAGAATTTGAAATTGTTGTTAAAAATGCAAACCCAGTATGCTTGCAGCTTGGTTATGAACAAGTATTACTAAGCGAAATAACGGTTACAACTTTATGACCAACTTCTTTAAACCATTTATAAGTTACAATTGACTTGTCTTGTAGTCTAATGGCATAACTGAAAATTTTCTAAATATCTGGATTTATATCAAATAGAGTTATGAATAAAATTTTAGTACAAATTTTACGAATTAAGTTTTAAATTTGATAAGGTGTAAGTTATATAAGATTACCTTAGGAACAAACTCTCACAAGTGACGTATGTAACAGCGAATATGAATAATGGGTAGATTAAAGGCATCATAACTATAAGGCACAAGAGCAATGTCCCAATAAGTTTGAGGAACGTGGGAAACGGTGCGCCGTATTTCCACAGTGATTTGATGTCTCCCAGAAATTCCTTACATAGAACCCGCACTCGGCCAAAACCAGATGAAGAACGAAGCTGATAAAACATTTTTATAGTGAACATATGCGTAAGCAATAATGTAATATATATAATAGATTAATGTAAAATATTTTATTACAGTTAACTCTTAAGATTTCCTACGTCTCGGCTAGCATTAAAATTTTCACGATCACAATTGATTGTTGTTTATAACGGAACCAGTTAAGGCGCAACAGAACAAAAAAAACTTTCAATTTGTTGAAATTTTCTAGTATGTTATCCTTGTTAGATATAAGATATGTCTTTGAAGTATGTTAATTTTACATAAATTATGAGTGTACACTGTACAATGCACATATATGTATGCGGCAGAGTATAATTGGCTGTTCATTTGCTTTGGTTAATAATACAAATAAAAGATAACTCTCTCGATCTCGCAAAAAACAAATTAATTTGTATTCAAGTTTTTAAGTCTACCTACTTATAAATTTAACTTTTCGAGGAAAATATCTCTTCTCAATTTTAGTTTATTCACCGGTCGTCTAATACTTTATTGTTAATATTGTCAGAAAACAATGGAAATAATATATTGTGCATTATTAATCACTTCATATAGAGGAGGCTCTCCCACAATCTCCATAATATCGTATTTAAATCTTGATAAACTAGCTCTACCGGTAGAATATTTTTATATACATCGTATTAGACAATAATTTCGGATAAAATTCCTTTGTCTTGACCCTGGTTGTGTTTCCTCGTAAGATATAAATTGTGGATAAGTAGATTACAAAAAAATTGTGACCTTTTAAAAAGGAATTTCCGCTAATTAATTTTTAGTTTCGCTGAGTCAAATTCAGTGTTTCAAGACACATTTTACATCTGTCAGATTCATAATTTAGGACCTAAACCTACCAATCAAAAACACTTTTTGTTTCTCCGGGAATGCAAACGTCCACGTTTTAACGGTAACATAAATTATGAAAATATTTATATAAAGACTGTACTTGTGACTGTAAATTAATATAAATTTATGTAATTTAAGATAATGGAGCTATTACTGAGCTTATAATCTAATCCAATTAATTTATAATTAACGTACTTGCACCATGAAGGCTTTGTTTGTTCGTCGATATGGTTTCATTTCACGTCTATTTTTTAATACACATTAATTTTGAAATGTAATCTGTATGTTGTATTTAAAATATTGCTGGACTACATTATAAATTATTGTTGGTTTGTTTTGGTTTTGATTGTCGCCTTTTGTCATTGTCATTTTGTATCTTATCTGAATTAAAAATTTCAATGTGACATACAATATGTATTTTTTAAAATCGACTATAACCTTTTGGCTCTAAAAGTATGCAATTGTTTTAATGTTACGATTCATAAGTATTTGCTCAATAGATGACATTAGTAAATCAGTTGACGTTAATGGATGCAGCTCCTTACAAACGTTGTGTAAAAAAAATATGGCGATTAAAAAGAGTGGCGGAGAGTTTATTGCCAGTTCTTCTCTTCCGTTCTACGCCCTTGATTTGAGGACTGGCAGTAAATGTACAATTAGAAGCATTAATATGTATTTCTTTACTGACGAGTCATAAGTGTACATTATGTTACCTATATGTTTTATTACTTTACTTTACTTTCGCCCTTTCTCAAATTCTCTCAATCGGTCTCAATCACTATCTCCCTTTTCTTCGACAAAAACGCTGTACATCTTCGTGACGCTAATATTATTATTATTGCGTTTCATCCGTACAAAATTTACCCTCATGCGCCTAAAGAAGTTTCACTTCAAAAGTTAGTCATATACCACCTTGTGTATTGAACTTGACTAGCTCCGTGTCAGAATTACAAAGAATTACGCATTTTAAAATGAATATATTTAGTTTTATGATAAAATACTTGAGAATATAATAATATACGTCAATGACATTTTACGACAGATATTTAAAAAATGTGTTTTATTTATATTTTTTTTTCATTAATTAAACGCATTGTTAACAGATTCCTACTAACCATAAGGCATATAAGGTGATATGTTTTTAATATTTTTGAACCATCGAAAAAATTTAATACCGTTCATAATTACAACACCTAAATGTAATAATATAGAATTTTTTTAAATCGGTTATTAAGTGACGGAATGTCAAGGTAAAAAATGGAAATAATTTTTTTGTGTAGGTACCTACTCAAATCAGGGATTAGGAAACTAGCACAAGGTTTAATTTTTGAATAAAGTAGAACATAGTTACGGTCGCTAATTATATAAAAATAAGTTGTGAAGATTTTATCTTTCAATTATAATTTATAATATGCCATAATGATATCATTACAACTGATACGGAGTACCTACGTCTGAAACTTTTGGTATTTTGATATAGAAAAATAAAACAAAGTGACTTTTATATTCAATTTATTTATTTAAACACATATACAATTTGACTAAATCCTTAAGAACAGAGTTAAAATAATGTGTATGAAAAATTAAATGGGTCATAAATTACGTTACTAATGCTTAATTTTGCAGAGTAAGTAATTATTATTATATGTTTAGATTTATTCGTAGGTATGAAACTGCGGAAATTGTGAGTAATTAAATTAATTAAATTATGTAGCTTCATGAATAAGACTCAAACAAAATGCCTATTCATATAATTTTTTTTACGAACCTTAACAACAATCGGCCTCGTTTAAAATTTAGAAAATAGATTGTACCGTGTTTGTTACCATAGTGATAATGTTTAATTCATGTAAAATAGTAACTATTACAACAAATACATCATATAATAGTTATATTTACTACCATTATGATATGACAGTTTTTTTCCGTATGTAATCTTTTCAGAACAAGTCTATCCTATGACGTATGGCGGAATGAGTAGGCTATAATATAAGCGGCAAGAAATTTGACAATTGCACGTAGCTGAGCAATAAATACATCGTACAAAAACAAAACCTTACTTTGACTGCTACAGATTCCCTCTGTGCCACATTTGTTGATCTAAAAATCACAGATAATACATATTTTTCGGGTCAAAAATTCGCGATGATGGAAATAAAGCTGGCTGTAACGACTGAACTTCGTGGTAGACTTTTACCAGTGACTACGCCTCACGATCTAATCATCACAAAAGAACCAGATCAAGTTAAATTTCAAGAACGATCTGGAGATATTTAATAACATTGAATTCAAATTTGTTTTATAAGGTATCAGATAAAGATATTTAAGATATATAATAAGAATATCATGTCAAATATTAAATAGCTTTTGCTATGCTTTTCAACTAGCATAATAAGCAATTTTTGTTGTATATAAATACGTCGCTTAACTAAGTATTATTTAAGTGACGACTTAACACTTTACGTGTGGTAATTTTTAAACAAATACCTTTTTTAATGTATAAGTTGTGACAATTGTAAGAGTCTGTGTAGCGCTTGGTGCTTATCGAATATTTTACCATTATTATTCTATGACCAACATCTAATAATAAAAACACCTAAACACCTATACTAAAGAAGTCGCAAAAACTTTCTTAAAATTAACTCAAAGAATGTTTTTTTTATAAATTACAACCCACTTTACAAGCTCGCACTTTTATTAATTGCGTTCCAGCAAACAAGTTAAGAGCAGGGTATTAAATTAGCATTAGCATTATAAATATTTATTTTTTTACGTGATTTTTTATAGAATATATTTAATGATTATACATAGGAACTGGATAGACGAAATTCTTTAAAGTAGGTCTCAAGTCAAAATCTAGTTATACAAAGTAATATTTACATAAAGTATCTTTAATATAATATCCAAATTAAACTAACAAAAGCGAAGGGCATTTTAAAACATAATGCAAGATTATAAAACCAAATTATATGTAACATTATATTAAGTAAGCAAAATTATACGAATTAAACACGCGATAACTATATTACCATTAATATATTAATGCCTCTTGTCAATGAGAGCTTTTATTACGCGACTAGAAATTAAGAATAGGAGGTGCATTGTGTACCGGGCGTAGTAAAACTTTTTATAAATCTGTCAATGTACTTTTTGTAAAATAAAATTTTCAGTGTATACAGTAATCTTCACCTTAATTTAAAAAAAAACTACTCTGTATGTTTAAAACTAGTGCTTGAATCGCACGACTGAATATTAAATTTATTAAATATCTTGTCAGACATCGCCGGCTTTTTTGTAGATATTGATGTCTTTTGTAAAAGTTTGGTACATCACTGCTCTATTGTCAATAGTTTCCGCAGTATATAGAGATTTTATTGGTATTTTTGGATACCCTTCTTTTTTGAAAGTACTATATTGCCTATGTTCTAGCTCTATAGTATCTAGCTCATTTTAATGGCAATCCTTGAAAATGAACTACTGAGAAAAATTATAAATTAAATTTAGTCACCTCTGAGATATCTTTCATCATATTAAGTTTTTGAGCCGAAATCGAGATAGATATTTACAATTTTCTTAAGCTTCATAGTAATAATATAAATAATTAAAAATTATTGAACAGATAATTAAAACAAATTAATTAAGTTATTCAATTCTTAATAAGTGGTAAAAAGGGGTCGATAAAAAACTATCATAATAACTGTGATTTTGGCTTTTGTGTGGAGGAAATAGTGACAAATCATCCTTAATTAAAATTGCCACGCCACAAACGTGAATCTATTAAAGATATGAATGATTAATATCTTATAACCTTCGCCGAATGTGCTTTTCGGCTATGATGCTCGAAAAACGTATATATTGTAAACTAGCCTATAAAACAGATAACACACGTGTGCCAGTGCCAGTGTGTGTGAATATGCCTTAATAGCTCTAGGAGTGAACATACCATGTGGTGGATCTTATGGGTAATATTAACTATCTTGGTTTGCGTGGAGTGGTTGGTGAAGTGTAAAGAATTTCAAATTATACCCGGACCTAAAGGAATTTATATACTTCATAATGCACTCGATGTTATTATTGAACCAGGTATGTATTTCATTGATTTTTAATAAAATCCTAACATCGACTTCTTTTTTTACTGTTGAAGATTTAATTTATTTCTTTCATTTGTTAGAAGTAATTTTTTTTCTTCTTTATATACCTACATTTTTAAATACGTTACAGTAAAGTGAAGCACGTTAACTATATATATATACCAAATATAAGATATGTATATGTATATCTTATATCTGGCAATGAAAACCTATATTATTTTGTATAAAGAAAAAAAATAGAAATATATATATTTTTTTTAATGTATTGTTACCCGACAATTAACAAACACATTTAATTTCATTAAGATTGGTAATCTAATGATTTTTAAATCATTTAAAAAAAATTTTAACTCACTGGTTTAAAAAAAACTTAATTTATATTTTCAGCGAAACTGTTTTCCTATTTAAGAACCTGGGCCAATACTTATGAAAGCCTCTTTAGATTACAATTAGGACCAGTTAAGGTTATACTCATTCATAATCCCGAAGATATAGAGGTAAATATAAAAAAGCTTTACTAAAATAGTTGTCTTATTTACAAATTTCAATTAGTTAAGGTTTTTCATAAACAAAGTTACGCATTAGTAACAAGGGAATATTAAGTATTTGTTGAGTTACTTATTTGGAATTTTTAGTTTGTAATATTTTTTTAGAAAGTGATAAATGGAACAAAATATACCACTAAAGGATTCCTTTACTACTTTATCCAGCCCTGGTTAAAGGAAGGCATACTTACTAGCAAAGGTACTGGATAAACTTATTAAGCTACATTATAATTTTCACATACATTTTTTGTTTACTCGCCAATGTTTATATTAAAAAATTTAAACAAATAAAAAGAACAAGATAAGGTTCAAGATGAATTTTATAATGCATAAACTACCTTTTTAGTGAGCCGAATAGAGGTTTATTTTAGTTTTAATAAAACATACTAAATTATAATTGTGAATAAATTTACAGGTAAAAAATGGCACGCGCGAAGAAAAATGATAACACCGACGTTCCATTTTAATATATTGAATAATTTTAAGCAAATCATGGAACATAACGTTGAAAAACTCAGTGACCACTTGGGAAGTGAAGTTAATAAGCCATACACAGATGTTTCAGAGTTCTTACACGACTTTACTCTTCATACTATATGTGGTAACAATTTTATGTATTTTAAAATATCGCTTTTACCCGTACAAACGCGCCTAGAGCCACAATCTTATCTAAGCATCTGTCAGATTTTATAGAGATATAACCAGATCTGACAAATAGTTAATTTGGTTTGAAATACGCCTAGTAGTAGTGGCTATATTTTTGGCCTTTAAAAAAACAATCCATTAAAGATATTTAAGGCAGGCCTAACCAAAGCCAAAGTATGTATTTTACCTTCCATCAAAAAAAATCCATTGTCAACCATTGTTAACCTGTTTTTGTATGTTTTTAAGTTTGTGTCTTCTCAAAACCTTACAGAAACAGCGATGTCTATCAAATTAGACGAAAAAAGCAGCGATTTTAATGAGTTCAAGGAGAATATACACAAATTAATACATTACGCTGTATACAGGGCTCAGAGGGTATGGATGTATCCAGATTTTATTTTTAACTTAACGAATTTGGGTCGGAAGCAACGAAAAGCTTTGGACATCCTAGAGTCATTCAGATCTCAAGTAGTAAAAAAGCGGCGTGAATGTAAAACTGAAGATGTATGGATAAATGATAAAGAACAGTCGTCAAAGAGGAGATTGGGGCTGCTGGATATTTTATTACAAGCTGAGAAAGACGGCCTGATTGATAATCATGGAATTTGTGAAGAAGTCGACACTTTCTTGTTTGGGGTGAGTATAGTGATCCAAATCTTCTTTTGATTCGATTCTGTTATACTTAAAGTTATAACTATATCAAGTTTTCTCTGCGCCATCGCAATAAGTATACCCATACCAAAACTTTCGTTGGTAGATATTGAATCAGCAACTTAAATCTGTCACCAATATCGCTTGCCCCGGGAACAAAGTCGTAAAGCACTATTACGAGTGTTTTAATGTTCTAAATGAAAGAACATTAAAACACTTCCTTGGGTGATGTACTTAATCTGAAATTTTTTTTCAGAATTTTTGCAAAACACGAGGATGTTTTTATTCTACGGATATATTTTGACATAATGTATACTCGTTTACTTAATTTTACTTTCCTGAAACAGATCACAACAACCATAAAAATAGTTTTAGTTTAGATTGTAATTCTACCAAATAATCGTAGAAGTTAATGCGACAGTTTAGGAACGAATAAAGTGTGGTAATAACCTAGCCCTGTTTCACCAAGGATATTACATTTCCTATATACATTAGTATTTCCGCAAAAAGAGTGGTAATAAATTATTAAGTTCTAGACATTCGTCAAAATGTGCCGTCGTAATGTGCGATTACTGTGTCGTCCGTAATTATGTTTAAACAGTGAAACAATCGTATACGGTTTTGCTCTTTATTCTAATTAGATGAATTAGTGTAATGTACATTTAGTTATTTTTTTAATTATTTACACTATGTAGATAACAACAATGTTAAAATCCTCGAAAAGAAACAAATAGCTTTCATTTGATATATCTATATATGTTTCTATATATACTTAGTATCCTAGTAATAATAGAATCACCTTCTTTATTTTTCCTGAAAAAAAAATAGATTTTGCGTTTCCTTCTTTCTTTTTATCTTCTATTAGAGGTTACACAGTTCCGGAAGCTTATTAATATATTTTTTTAACTCTTGAACACGTGTTAATCTATGCAAATTAATTAAATAACGCTGAATAAAAAACTCGTTGATGAATAATAGTCCATTGAAAAGTTACATTTGGGGTTGCGTTTTTTAGAGGACGCAATTTTATTTATGGAACATGTAGGGGGGGTCAATACAAGCTTAACTCCAAGTTTGTGGGGTTGGCGTGCTTGTACCCCGGCCGCCATCTTGGATAAAGGGGTCCAAAAACTACGTTTTTGGCTATATCTCCTAAACTATCAATCGTACATAAAACTTGTAAAGACACATTTTGTAGCAAATCGCTGTGTCTACGATTATGTCTATGTAACTTTTTATCATAAATCCAAAATTCAAAAAGTTATAAGTAAAAAAGTGAAATATTCCTATTTCTAAAGTTGACTAGGTGCGTCAATGCTCATGACAAGCCGATCAAAACAGCAGTTTTACCTTACTTTTAAGATCTCTCGTTTATTTTAAACAAATTTTCTAAATCATTTTTTTTTATTTTTTTTATTCCTACAATTTTACTTATTGGTATTCCTAGTAGGCCTATTCCACAGACAACTTGCTGATATGGTAATCTTCGACATAATTAAAGAGAGACGACATAAAGAGACATAATTGTAGACACAGCGATTTGCTACAAAATGTGTCATTACAAGTTTTATGTACGATGGATAGTTTAGGAGATATAGCCAAAAACTTGGTTTTTGGACCCCTTTTTTCCAAGATGGCGGCCGGGGGACAAGCACGCCAACCCCACAAACTTGAGGTTAAGCTTGTATTGACCGCCCCTACAGTTCCCATAAATAACATTGCGTCCTCTAACAAATGTTAAGTTTGGCCCTCAAATTGTAACATTTCAATGGACTATCGGAGCGCTGTAAAACCTTAGCTATTAACTTAATGAAAAAATGATGCAAATAAAAGTTGTTCCCCAAAAAACGATCTACAAAAAAGGTCTGATATTATTTTTTCGTAAAATGATAAAAAAAAAAAAAAAAGTTATATCGAAAAATATAAATTTTTTCTCGAATTTCTGAAGATTTTCGCTTATAATTTTTTTATTTATAGTTTTACGATAAAAAATTACTGGACCAAAGTTGTAGAGAATTTAATTTGCAACAAAAAATGTTAAAAAAATTTTTTTATCAAATAAATAGTTTAAGAGATATATCATAAAAACCGTTTCAACCACTATTTTCAAGATGGCGGCCGTGGGACAAGGGTGGCGACCCCACAAACTTGGTTTTAGCTTTACACTGACCCCCCCTACACATCAAAAAAATCAAATTGCGTCCTCTAAAAAACGCAAGGTTAGGCCTAAAAAATGTAACATTTCAATGGACTATAACACGTCCAGATGACATTGATAATATAGATAAACCATTACATAAAACTAAGGACACCTAAATAAGGGACACGATAATAATATAACTAACGCAATACATACTTCCTTATTATCTAGCCTATTAAAGCCAAAAAGCCTAGAAAATGTATTCAGAATTATTAAGAGTTAAGGAATAATTTTTCTTAGCATCAGTGTTGGGCACTAGGGCACTAGGCTTTAGCGTACGATTCTTATCCCTGAGGTCGTAGGTTCGATTACCGACTGTGCACGACATGGACTTTCTTTCTATGTGCGCACTTACCATTAAAGAAAAACATCGTGAGGAAACCGGCTTGCCTTAGACCCAAAGTCCACGGGCATGTGTCAGTCACAGGAGGCTGATAACCTACTTACGTATTAGATTGACAAATCATGAAACAGATACAGAAATCTGAGGCCCAGACCTAAAAAGGTTGCAGTGATTTACTTTTTATTTTTTTAAGGAATAATTTTCAAATAAACTGTTATTATGCACGTTTAATTATCAAACAATTGCAATATTGATTTTAAAAATAACATTTACTTTAGGGTATTTTCTTTGTATGGAACATTTATAGGTCGAAATTGTAGTCCATAGTGCTAAACTAATATGAGCTACATTTAATTTCATCTATAGGTTATCTATGTATCAAAGTAATAAATTAATTTATTTTGTTTCAGGGCTACGACACAACTGCGATTGCTTTAAAATTTATTATTTTGCTACTGGCCAATCATAAAGACGTTCAGGTACGTAATAAAATACCAAGATTAACGCGTGCTACGCTTCTACAACCAATGGCTGGTTGAAGACGCGTAACTGGTGTGAGTTTTAATCGTAGAGGAGTAGAAAATAAACAAAATTTGCCTATATGATATAGAAACACAAAAATATGTAGATAAAATACATAAAACAATGAAATACTTTTACAAGGAAAACATATTATAGGATACATATCGTAGTTTGTTTCAAGAAGGAATTGTATAAATTGGTCCTCGTGGTAACCGAGGCCGACTTTGCAAAATACTACATAATTTCAATGATTGATTAAATAACTACGTCGACGTAACCGAATTTCTGTGTTGTTTCTTTCAATAACGGCTAAGATAAACAAGATTAGATTTTTGTACCATTGTTGATTATTACCATTATTTCCTATTTGTATTATAACTTTGTATCTTAAAATTTTTTTAAATACAATATACTTAATTGTAATTAATAAAATCGTTTTACAATAGTAAACAATTGCCAATTAGCCGCTAGAATAACACATTATTTATACTACTATACTATACTAAAAATACAACTTTTAGAATTTATTTGCACTTTTAGTGCAATAGTAATAGTAATATTTAAAGCTATATATATAAAATATATATTTAAAATTGTAATGTCACAGTGTTTGTAACCAATCTCCGAAACAGCTTGACCAATTTATGTGAAATTTTTAGCCCAACCCGATTTTTTTTAATATCTTGTAAAAAAAATTATTAAATTATTATTTAGAATTCATTGAACACTTAAACGATTACTATGGGGGTACTTTTTAATAGCGATATTAGTACTGTGGTAATCTCAAGTCTTACTTTAACTCGATTACTGGATAATTTGTTTGACAAAACATTTGCCGTTGCAGATACTTTTTATATAATAATTTGGATATTGAATCAGATAAATATAAGGTGCAAATCAAGTTTTAGTCATTATAAATAAACCCTCTACACATCCTTAACAGGAACAAAATGTTCTTATTTTATTGCATGTATATCATATTATATAAGATAAGATAAGCTCCTAAGATAAGAGCCGGTAAAGAAGCCAATACATCAAATGGTCTTACTTTTTAAACCCCCACAAACACTTCAATGTTTTGAACACATAATGAAAAAAAATTGCATTTATTAAGTTTATTTTGTATTTGATTGCAATTTTCTACGTTTAAGGCATTAATGGGAAACTAAAGAATAATAAAAAGTTTTTACAATTATGTAAGTATTTAAATAACCCAATGGTATCTAGGCTGTCGGATATACCACATAATAGCAATATGAGTAAATCGTTATTACACTGATTTTTTAGAGTTGTGTTGGATTCAGCGTGCGACTTTCATCTCTAAGGTCATAAGTTCGATCCCGGCTGTGCAACTATTGACTTTATATGTGCGCATTTCGCTCGTACACAACTCGTAACTGTCGCTCGTAAGGTGAAGGAAAACGTTGAGATTAAACCGCCATGATTGTCTTATAACATTATTTAATAGATAAAACAAAAGTTATGATCCAGATCCAGATGTAAAAGGTCGTAGCACCACTGCTTTATAATACACTAAATGAACCGAATACTAAATTAACTCTTTGTATCTGTCAAATATATACAGGGTTATTGGTAATTCGACATATTCCCGTTAGGAGGTGATAGGGGTGATAATTCTGATCCTCATATGCATTGTAATTCTGTGTAAAAAAAGTATTTTAATTCTGGGTAGATAATAGAATTATTAATTTATAAAATAATGCTTGATTAATTAAATATATTTAAAATCATAATCATTTTATAGGATAAAATAATAGAAGAATTTAACACCATAGTGGGCTTTTCAAAAGGTGAAATTACAATGGCAGACTTGACAGAAATGAAATACTTGGATTGTTGTATAAAAGAGACTATGAGATTATATCCACCAATACCAGCTATTACCAGAAATATTGATGAGCCATTGAAACTTCGTAAGTTATTCTCAAACAAAAGTATTGCAAATTATCAAAAAATCACCAACTATTTTAGTAAATTCCTCTAAATGCCATATCAATAACATAAAAAATTTAACTTTAGACATAATATACAGTGTAACGTCTTTAAAACGACATTTGTTATAACGAAGAACACTCTATAACGTAAAATGCAACAACATTTAATCTTCCTTCCCTATAACGAAACCCCTCTATAAAGAATAAAAATGCTCGGTCCCTTGAAATTCGTTATAAAGAACACTGTAGTATTTTTTATTTTGATAATAAACCATTAGTTTATATCTAACAATAAATTATTATCACGTTACTAATTCATTAAAAACAGGTTTTACTAGAGATAATTTGGATATATTATTAAAATGATATTAATATAATATGATATAGTCCAGGTGATTCCAGTTTTTATGACAAAATACCCGTTTAATAAAAATCATCCATTTTTATACCAAAATTTATCTTAGACGATTTTTAAAATTTTCATTTATTTAAATACCAAAATAATTGCAATACATTTTGATATAGTTACTTACGTTTTACAGGGGGTTATGAAATCCCAACTGGAACGGAAGCTGTCATTTTAATTTACGACCTGCATCGACGTGCGGATCAGTTCGTTGAACCTTTGGCGTTCAAGCCCGAAAGGTTTTTAGCCGAACCAACTTGGCACACTTACTCCTATATTCCATTCAGCGCTGGTGCCAGAAATTGTATAGGTAATATTACTAACTATATATAGATATGATCCAAAACTTAATTGTGTCAGCACTCAAAAACCATCACAACTGCTATAAAGAATTATATTATACCCGTTAAAAAAGTTTTATTATGATGATGATGAATTGTTTATATTAGTGTTAGTTTTTGTTAGTGGGCTTTAATTATAGTGATCAAATAGTATGGTGTGGATCAATTTACTAACGAATTTCTCAATTCTTCTGAGCATTAAATGCTTTAACTCTGAATTGCAATTGCATTGTTGCAGGACGTAAATTTGCAATGATCGAAATGAAGCTGGTCGTTCTGTCATTGCTACGACGATTCTGCCTTTTACCAGTCACAAAAACCGAAGACCTTGTATTTGCTACGGACTATGTTCTACAAACGACGCAACCAATTTACGTCAAATTTCAGGATCGATATAAGGAAGCACACTAAAGTGAATTAAATGTCGGCTAATTATGTTTAACTTAAATTTTAATTAATATTATACATTCGTTATATGAGTACAATGTTTTTTCCTCGGAGTCAAATCACGCTCAGCATTTTTTAGCTTAAACATTTATTGTTTTGTTGTTTAATCTAGAGAACGACGGAGTTCCGTGCTACCATTACAAATATGGTTAAAACAAATTAGGTCCTATTTAAGAATTTCTGTTTGTCGCTTTATGAGTAGATTGGCCAATCTTTATTTTTTGCGTTCGTGAGTAAGAAAAACGAATTAAAATTATTAGATTGGTTAAAACATGCCTCATACGCCTTTACTTATCTTCACTTAACCAATAAAAAGAAAAAAACTTCATAACAACATTTTAAATAAACAAATTATATGTATTATTAATTAATTAGCCATTGAACTGCACTTGTATTGTATTTTATTTGTATGGATTATGCTTTGTATGTCACACAATATCCTAGAATATCCATTAAAAATATATTGTTGGACAAGTAAAATATTTCTTACCCTATTTATGATAATAAAACACATCTTGATAATGTAGGTACTGACAAGAAATGGCTTTTCGTCTAACTTTATGACTGCCATTAGACTGGATTATATAGATTACACACGAAGGCACAATCTACTAAGTATACCACAATACGATACCTTACATTGCCTTGCATCCCTTTTATATATTGCAGACATGTTAAGGTATAAATTTTTTTTTTTAAATTTAATTTTCTACTCATACGTCACACGAGATTTGAGACGACGTTGGCTTAGATGTTATTACATAAGACAACACGACAGAATCATAAGTATTGAAATAGTCCAGTCAAATTATGGCTAAAAACGGGTTAAATTAACATGAGCGAACACAGTTTGGGGATTTTGAGGATCGATAGGGGGGTGTATTCTGAGCATAAATTCCAATTTGAGGGGTTGTACTGAGGTCAGCTCAAGGTCATTTCGATGGAAACGCGTTTAATTCGATATCTCGAGAATGGTTAGTGTTAGGCGAAAAATTGTAGACGACGACGAACAATGGAAAAAAAAGTAAAATTTCTGCCTTGCGGGAGTAATAACTTGAAAAATATTAATGTTATAAAAAAAAGTTTCAGATAAAAAAGTTGTAAATTTAGTTAGGAAAAGAAAAGGTTTCTACAATTTTTCGCCTAACACTAACCATTCTCGAGATATCGAATTAAACGCGTTTCCATCGAAATGACCTTGAGCTGACCTCAGTACAACCCCTCAAATTGGAATTTATGCTCAGAATACACCCCCCTATCGATCCTCAAAATCCCAAAACTGTGTTCGCTCATGTTTATTTATTTCGTAATTTGACTGGAGTAAAATGGCATTCTAATGGACCGGTTCGTTCGTTATATATTGTGTATTCTTCTTTACATTGCCGATAAAGGGTGAAAGGTCATTTTTACTGTAATAATGTTGGCTTATCAGGTATTCGTTTATAAATTCTCACTTAGGAGATGCGTTCCTTTGTCTCTCTCAATGTTTATTTTTATTCGTAATTAAATATTTACAATGTTAGGTATCTATATGTGGCTATTTTTAGTAATTATACTCCTTATTGCTTTGAATCTGTTAATGAAAAATGAAAGTTTTGATAAAATTCCTGGACCACGTGGGATTTTCTTATTGCAAAATACCTTAGATTTTCTTACGGATTCAGGTATGTATTTTAAAGATAAACAATTATTAATACATTCATATATTGATCTGTTTGTTTTTGCAGCTGTAACATTCCGATATTTTTCGACGTTATGTAATAAATATAAAAAAATATTTCGAGTGAAATTGGGATTTAGGAAAATTGTTATTGTTTACAATCCTGAAGACGTTGAGGTATGTGACCTAATAGTGCATGACAGGTCAAGTTCGATTATACATGGTCAGCAATTATTGTAATATGTTGTATTGGTTTTTGCGAGAGAATATGGGCAGCCAAAGGCTAACTATTTATAATCACTTATTTTCGCAGATTCTCATATCTGGGACCAAGTATAATAAAAAAAGGATTTTTGTACGGTTTCATTCAGCCATGGCTTCAAGATGGCTTGCTTTTGAGCGATGGTATAGTATCTTTAATATTTTTATAGTTGCTAAAAGACGCTTCGATCGGAAATAGATGCATACAAAAATTCTCGACATTGTTATCAAAGAAGAATAATATTATAAGGAGATCTTTGACAATTTTTTTCTCTTATGGTTATTATAGTCCGGGATCCATCGCCCATTTTTGCACTTGATTACTATCAAGCTAATTTTCCGTGAGTAGCTTTATTTTGATGAGACGCCCAATAATTTCCTGTACGAAACTCTCGGTTGTGGTAGCTAACAGAAGTAGCAAGGATAAAATATGTTGATTTGATGATTCTCAAATATTTATTACTAACTGATTTTTTTTTTGTTAAATCTCAAGACAATTATCTAAATTATTCGAAAAAATATTTGTCCTACAAAATCTATGGTTTGATCAAAGAGTCCCCTCTTTCCGACATGTATCGATAACGAGGTCATCATAAATGATTACTAACCAGCTGATTTATTTATTTTTACTTAGTTAATATTTATGTAATTTAACAGACATATTGTCCTACAAATTGCGCGGTACGTTATCCTGGTCCTACGCTCAGAAATTGTTAATACCACAAGACCATTTTTCTCATTACTAACTGTAGGACAAAAATATCATATAATAGGTTAGTGTGTTCTCTGCCCAAATGAAACAACGTCCTACAAGAAAACAGGTATGTATCACTAGTCCGACAAGAATTGTAATTTTTTCGTTTTCCTATTTGTAAAATAAGATACAGTGAAAAAATCTTTTTTTAAAATTTAAATAACTTTATTTTTTAGTAATCTAGGTACTAAAATTTGTGTATTCATATATAAAGAAGTTAATCTTCATCAGATTCATCTGATAAATCTTCGCTACTAACATCGCTATCATCTTCATCTGTTTCACTTTCTTCACTCGTGATATCTGACTCTAAAATAAAATATACAATAAAAAATAATAATAATAATTTATTGTAAATATAATATACTATCAAAAATTATTGTTTAAAGAATGTAACAATAATACAATGCTACAATAGAATGTTACAATGCTAATGATCGATTTTACATAATTACGTAAAAATATGAACTTAATAAATAAATTATGTTTCAATTATTTTAAAAATAAAGTAAGTAAATATTCGATCGACTTACCTTTCATAAGACAAATATTTAGATTTCACTCGAAATTCTTTGTAACAAGAGGAATGATAACCTATTACTTCGTCATTCCAATTTTCAGGTAATATAACATCTCGATATTTATGTAGATGATGCTTTCGAGCAGATAGAAAAGTTTTGCAAGAAAGCCAAAAGTCTTTATTAAATTTCTTCACTTTTTCTCTCGAAAAGTAGAGTTTTCACATAACGAATTACACAAAAAAACACTCCATCATTATTTTGCAGCACAAAAAACATTTCTTGAAATTATTTATCAAAATAAAATAAAACACGTGGTCGACTGAGAAAATGTTTGCAGGCTTATGATCGACACTAACGTGGGATACCTAATTCGCAGTAAGCAATGCTCTGCGCATGCGTACCGCCGTACCGGTGTGACTCAGCTGTAGTAGCAAAATACAGAAACCCACGACATACACGACACACACGTTTTTGCATGTTGTACATATTTACAATCTGACATGTCTTGTGCTTTTGCATATGCATTTTATTTTATTCTATTGACATGTTTGTGCTTAGTGCATATTCATTTTTTTACATTTTTTTTTTCTCTACATTACTGACACGTTTTGTGCTTAGTGCATATTCATTTTTTCTTTTTCTAGAATACTGACATGTTTTGTGCTTTTGCATACAATATTTTACACTTTGACATGCCAAGTGAATAATGTTTATATTACGATTATATTTTTCAATTTCATTATTTTTTCCTTGCTTTAAGGTACACCTTAAAAGTACATTTTGTATCCATTGTAAGTGTAAACATTATGCGGGTATATCATAAACTCTTTTGCTTGATTTATAATTTGATACATTTTAGTATATAGTTATTTTGGGCTGGCGATCTGAGTGAGTTGTTGCCCCACATATTTTTATGGTGCCACTGGCGGTATTGCTGTGTACCGGGTTGTGCAGCTCCCTCAAAAATGGTTGAGCTGCATGAGCTATTCGGGGCATGCTTGCCGTCTGCTGGCACAGGCTTGCTCAGATCGATCTGGTTCTTTCTTCCAAAGACCAGTCCAGTAAATACTCTGCATTTGTTTACACCAATTTATTAATTTATTATTGTATTATCTGGACTATAAAAGAGACTAAGACCCCCGAGTTTGTTTCGACATTTCTTCTCAAGGCAGTCAGTTAGGAAATGTCGACTTCATCTAGTTTAGGATGACATTGTAAAAGTGATTTATATAGTCCTACTTGCAAGAATAAACTATTTCATTTCATTTCATTATTTTATCATTGCTACCGCTGTTAGCTACCATAATTGAGAATTTTCGCATAGGAAATTGTTGGGCGACTCATCGAAACGAAGCTATTCATGAAGATTCAGCTTGATAGTAATTATTTTTACATCAAGGATCTGTACTACTACTTTTGAGCGTAGGACCAGGATAACGTACCGCGCAATTTGTAGGACAATATGTCTGTTAAATTACATAAATATTAACTAAGTAAAAATAAATAAATCAGCTGGTTAGTAATCATTTATGATGACCTCGTTATCGATACATGTCGGAAAGAGGGGACTCTTTGATCAAACCATAGATTTTGTAGGACAAATATTTTTCGAATAATTTAGATAATTGTCTTGAGATTTAACAAAAAAAAAATCAGTTAGTAATAAATATTTGAGAATCATCAAATCAACATATTTTATCCTTGCTACTTCTGTTAGCTACCACAACCGAGAGTTTCGTACAGGAAATTATTGGGCGTCTCATCAAAATAAAGCTTCTCACGGAAAATTAGCTTGATAGTAATCAAGTGCAAAAATGGGCGGTGGATCCCGGACTATTAGTGGCTGTCAATTATGGGACCACTGTCTTCACAAGCTTCTAGTTCAAGAGACTCCACGTAGTAGAGTTTCGACTTCAGATACAAGTTTGTTCCGGTACTCATCAACAACTGCCCGAGAAATACCTGCCCGGTCAGTGTAAAAAGTATCCCCAGTGCTGTCATCCGCATAGCAATGAATGTTGCTAAGTTGCAACATATCATTGATATGCAAAAGAAATAGGGTCGGGAAAAGAACACAGCCTTGTGGGACCCCAGCGTTCACGGGTTTAAGGTCGGAACATGCTCCGTCGATGACGACCTTGATGCTCCGATCGGCCAGAAAGCTGGAGATCCAATCGCATAATTTCTCGGGAAGCCCATAGGCTGGGAGCTTCGAGAGCAGTGCTCTGTGCCACACCCGATCGAAGGCTTTCGCTATGTCCAAACTTACCGCCAGCGCCTCCCCCTTGGACTCAATTGCCTCTGCCCACCTATGGGTAAGGTATACAAGGAGGTCACCAGCTGAGCGACCACGACAAAAGCCGTACTGAGAATCGCTAATCAACTGGTGGCCCTCTAGATACCACAAGAGCTGGCAACTAATAATGGTTTCCATTATTTTGGAGAACAAGGAGGTTATAGCTATTGGGCGATAGTTGGACGGATCAGAGCGATCGCCTTTTTTAGGGATCGGATGTATCGAAGCGGTCTTCCAGCACTTCGGGACAGTGCCGAGCGAGTACAGGTACCGGAAAAGGCGCGTTAAGACCGGAGCCAACTCAGGAGCACAAGTATGCAGCACAATTGGGGGGATACCATCCGGCCCGCTCGACTTATGAATGCCCAAGGAAGATAGTGCTTTGCGGACAGCACGTTGCTGGAATGTGATTTCCGGCATCAAAGAATCATACCGCGAAATGGTCGGTGGTGATCTCCCTCAGTCATCCAAAGTCGAGTTGGACGCGAAGAGACAGCCCAAAAGGTCGGCCTTCTCCTTCGCAGTATGGGCCAGAGAGTCATCCTCTCTGTGCAGTGGCGGAATGGCGGGCTGACAAAAATTCCTTGGACAGCTTTGGCGAGAGACCAGAAGGCTCGAGTCCCTGAAGGGAGCTGGGCCAATCTCTCGCCAAATCTGGCAATGTGCTCTGACTTTGCCTTAGTGATTTCCCGTTTGAAGAACCTGGAGGCTGAGTAATATGCTGTTTTAAGTTCGCTGGTATTGGCATCACGAGATTTCGCCGCTTCCGCCCATGCCTTAAAGCATTCTCGCTTTCGACGCGAGGCCGCCCTGCAAGAACGTTTAAACCAGGGCTGAGACTTGCCACTGATCGGCACCGCAGAAAATGGAATAAAGAGTTTCATGCCCTGCAGAACCACTTCGGCGACAGAGGCGGCGACGGAATCTGGAGCTTTCGGCGAAAAGCACATAGGCCCCCAAGGGTAGGACGCAAAGAAAGACCGCATCTCGTCCCAATCTGCTGACTTATAGTGCCAAATACGGCAACAACCCATAAAGCGGGGCCGTGAAGGGCGCGTAGATGGTACAGTACTTCGGACCACACAATGATCCGATGAACCCAATGGCGGGTCAACAGAGACTTGATAGTTCTCTGGATGTGAAGTCAGCAGAAGGTCCAACAAAGAGGGTTTATGACCATCCACATCTGGTATTCGCGTAATCGCAGGGACCATTTGTGTCAGGTCGTAGGCTAAAGCAAAGTCGTGAAAGGATCTTCCCGCGTGATCGGTGGTTTCAGAGCCGAGCCAATCGGCATGGTGGGCGTTAAAATAGCCAAGTATCACGATTTCAGCGGTAGGAACCCTTTCGAGCAGGGAATCTGTAGCCATTTGGATGTGCTCAATGAGTCGGTCAGTTTCGGTATTTCCGCTATGGGACCTATACAGGCATGCGTAGAATCGTGGATGGTCATCGCAGTCTACGCGCAGCCAGAGGTTAGATAGGTCCCTTCCTTCAAGCTCCCGCCCGCGGCACAAATGAATGTTCCAATTTGTACCCCGGGTAGGTGAGGTAGGAAGTATCAGCCGGGGAGGAAATCTGAGTCTCGGTAAGAAAGAGCAAGGCCGGCTTCGCAGTCTCTAAATGGTGGACTGCGTTGATATTGGAATTGAGCCCCCTAACATTTGTGAAGTCCACGGCGAGCGTGGACGGGGGTGCCTTTGTTGAATTGCTCCGTTTGCCCCAAGAACGATAACTGTTTTTGTTGAGCGCAGAATTGCCCCCCCCCCAGAATACGAAGGGCAGCCTGTGCGTCCACCACCGGGTGCTGAGTGTCCCGGTGTTGGACGCCCAGAGGGGGATTCACCACTGCGAGCGCGTGTGGTACCCCCCTGGGGTAGATTCTGTTTTTTCTGCACCTTCATATTTCATATTGTATGGGCTCCGGGAGTCTCCCTCACCGCACGAAACGCGAGTACAATAAGGCGAACCTATTGCATCACTTAACGCCGGTTTTCTAAGAGACAGTGGTACTGCCCCGGTCGTGCCTGCCCATTTGGCTGAAGCCCGAAGGCAACAGCATGGCACTCCCACTAGGAAGGGGTTGACTGATTGCGCTGATGAAATAACCTCTGTCACAGGTTATTTCGCCAGTGGGCGATGGGGTCGTCACGTCCCGACGCCGACAAAACTCATCATATTTTATACTTCTTCCAACATATAATCTATTCTGTTATCTACATATATTATGACAGGATATATTAAAAAAGCAAAAAAATAAATAAATAATTAAACTTTTAAACATATATATTTTGTAGTTGATTAACTCCAAGTATTTGCATCCTAGTTATTTAGATAGTCACATTGCTTTTTAGGAGAAAAGTGGCATGAGCGGCGGAAAATTTTAACACCAGCTTTCCATTTTAACATTCTGCGCAGCTTCAACACAATTCTGGTTGAAAACTCCGCGAAACTTGTGCATCGAATCAAACTTGAAACAGAGAAGCCCCAAACTGATATAATGGATATAGTAACTGATTTTACAATTAAATCTATATGTGGTGAGGACGTGAAATATTTCGTTTTATGTCCCCTGTTAATAATTTTGACAATGATCATGGATATATTTGTAGAAAGGTACGTTAAGTGATAAAAGCGTTTTCAGAAACTGCCATGGGAACCAAGTTAGATGAAGAAACATCAGAGTTCGGCAAAACTTACAAAAATGCAATACACGAATTGGGATCAATTGTTTGCCATCGAGCCCAAAGGGTTTGGTTGTATTCGAATTTCGTATTTCGATTCTCACATTTTGGAAAAAGTCAAGAAAGAATTCTAGACATGACTAGTTCATTTAGAAACAAGGTTATTGAAAAACGTAGAGAAGATTTCATTGATATGAAAAAAAATATTGATGAATATGATGAAGACCAAAATGTTTATGGGAAAAAGAGATTAGCTATGTTAGATATATTATTACAAGCTGAGAAAAATGGCACTATTAACTTTAATGGTATAAATGAAGAAGTAGACACTTTTATGTTTGAGGTTGGTGATCTTGTTTTGTAAGTAGAGCAATGATATTCAACAAGCATATTTTACAATTAGATTATTTGACTAAAACCTATTTACAAAAAAATCTTCGTCAAACACGTAATATTAAATAAATTTATGATATATTTTCTTTCATGAAACGTGAAAATTAGTAGTGTTCGTAAATTATCTTTCTTCTTTTTAGAATTTTTTGTAACATATGTCCTATCCTTTAAGGGCCACGACACCACAGCTACAGCACTTCAATATACTTTTATGATTTTGGCAAACCATCAAGATATTCAGGTTGGTAAGTAGTGGAATATTTCATACATAGAAAACTATCTAACGATCATTTACACTTTGCAGAACAAAATTGTAGAAGAAACTAATCAAATTCTCACCTACGACCAAATTCCGACCATAAATGATTTAGCACAAATGAAATATTTGGAATGTTGCATTAAAGAGAGTTTAAGAATGTTTCCACCAGTTTTTTTCATTTCTAGGAGAATTGAGAAACCACTTAAGTTAGGTAAGCTTAATACTATTTCTAAATAAAAACATATAAACTGCCTTAGAGTGCTTTTACCCATAAATACCTCAGCTCTTAAAATAATATAATTTGCATAGACAGCAATATTGTTCTTGCATTATTAATACTGCGCCGTTAAATGGACTAACCTACTCAAAATTATTTTCCAATCTTTGTTTTTTTTCTATCTTATCTTTGCAGCTACTTTTGAATGCCCAGCTGGTACAGATGTGAACATAATGATTCGAGAACTACACCTCGACTGTCAACAGTTTAGAGAACCTTTTGAATTTATACCAGAAAGATTTATGAAGAAACCAACATGGCACCAGTACGCTTACATCCCATTTAGTGCTGGACCAAGGAATTGTATTGGTGACTATAATATACATACATATAATATTAACATAATCCTGTTTGCCTTGTTCAGATTTCTATATATATTTTATTGACAGTATTGTGTTGCTGACGCATTACTTTGATTTTTTTAGGTAATTTTGTTTTTTTTGGTCTAAGACGGCTTTGGCTTGTTTTCTTTGACTTTACGAACACTTAAAAAGTTCATTAGTTCACTAGTTTGAGTTTAGTTTAGTGCTAGTTTTTTTATTAGTTTGCACAATAAATAATTAGTTTTTCTGAACGCACGATATATATGATGAAAATACTTTTACAATTTACTTAAAACCTTAGATCTTGATTAAAACCCGTCAAAAAATATGTAATAAATAATGGAGATAATTGTTGCTTACGCTTGTGTCAAGAGTAGTTTTACTAATTATCTTTTACAAAATGAGTTTATGAGTAATAAGTAAATATATCAAACCATTTTCAGGTCAAAAATTTGCTATGATGGAGATGAAAATTGCTTTATCTACGGTGCTCCGACGTTATAGAGTCCTACCGATTACGAAACCAGACGACATAATCTATCTTGCCGATTTTATACTCCGCCCTAAGGAGCCTATTTTAGTCAAATTTGAAACACGAGTATAATCCATGTTAGGTTTTAGGAACACTGACCTTCAAATGTCATTCATTTTAAGTGCTATGTTAGAAATAATCGTGACTTTACAGCGTGTTATTAACCACGAATGTTGTAAATTTTATGCCTTAATATTATTTTATTACCTACGTAAGAATGTTATTAACGAATACGTTTTCAAAGCACTACTTAAATAAAAATATGTTTAGTTTTGTTAAGAGTGAATTTTCTTAAGGAAATAAACCAAAATGTTTTTATCTGTGTATTTCATTCTTGGAATATTATGTGTTTTGCATATAGTATTTAATTACAATAAAACCGCAAGGATGATGAGAAAAATTCCAGGATTTCGATTTAATTTTATAGTTGGGAACGCATTAGAATTATTAGTGTCGCCAGGTAACTTAAACGTGTTATTTTTTCTTCAAATAACATATGTATTAAATTTGCCTCGATATAAAGTTTTTAACTTATTAAAATATTTTAAATGAATAAATTGTTTTAGAGGCATTATTCGCTAAGGCGAGAGTTTGGGCATCACAATTTCAGGGCATATATGGATTTTATGTTTATCCAAACAGTTGTATTAATATATACAATGCAGAAGATGTTAAAGTAAGTCACTATATCGTACATAATACGAGTATGAGTACCTAGGACATAATGCGTATGCAAAAATTTTAATAGTAAATAAATTTTTACATCGTTTGCCTTTAAAACTTAAGAATCATGTCCAACCTTCAAGCTAAATTTAAATTTCGTATACTCTCTACATTCCTCAGGCATCCCATCATCCCATTTGTCCCTCCTTTAAGGAGAACACCTTTTGTACTAGTAATATAATATGTACCCAGATTGAGCATTATGATAGACGAGCTAGGTCTTGATATCCATAGTAGCTCCCCTCACACTTTGAAATCAATTTTCCTTTAGTTTTTATAATTTATAAATCGATATTTTTTCTCTTCGTGTTTGTTATAATTGTCGTGTGTTTGCCTATAATTGTTTGGTACATTAAATCTCATGTGCCGAGTGTTGGCAAGGCTTTTGTAAATAAATAGTTATACCGCGCGAATCGGATGCTTTTTTTTGGAAAGGAATCTCGCTGTTGGCCTTAAGGGCCTTTACAGCTCAGCTCGGGCTGTTTTGGCAAGCGTAGCTCGGCCCAAGGGCGGATCCAGCTTTGGTGCCAGGAGGGGGTCACATAGTCGTGGTCAAGTCAAGAACTTATAATTTAATTTTGATAACAATAGATACAAGTAAAAAGTAGGTATTTTATTAATGTACGTAAGTATTGCACTTATCAATATTTATTCTTTATTGTACACTTGAAAAACTTAACACATAATATTGTGTACATACAGGTTGGTCCAACTAGTGACATCAATAATTTTTCAAAATCTCAGCTTCCTAAAATTAGTTAAAGCTACTCAAAAAAGGTTTTAAAGTTAGAAGTTTAGTTTTTAGCTGGATTTGTTCAAACATTTGACTTCAATTTAAAATAAAAATAGGTAAAAAAACTTTTTAAGTTAAACGGTTTTATGTTAAACATACATTGCAATGTTTAAGATAAATGTACTAAAAACCAAAAAATAATAAAATAGATACAGTCGTGGGAATTATAAACATATGCATAGACTAGACTAAAATAAAACCGTGGGGCACGTCAATTGTCTACAAATTATCGACTTAATGTGCGATAGAAGAATCGTTTAATTCGTCGTTAAAATAGGCAGTTGGCCCGCAGACGTCCTGAAATTACTTACTATTTTCTTGCTCATGGAAATTCCAATAGTTATACACTCCATGTAAATAAAAGAGATGTTTCAACTAGTTTATCGTTGGACATTCACACTGCTGGCTGGCGAGGAATCGTTTCACTGCTCGTAGTTTGTCTTTAATCGACAAAACATATGATAAAAGTACTACTCGCTCACCACTATGAAACCCTAAAACTCGATTATAATCGAGCTTGCTAGCTTGTTTCCACATTCTAGCCCTACTTATCACACGTCCATCGTTGTCGGTTGAACAACTGCCTAATTATAGTGTAACATTACAAAACAAACATTTTAATCAACGATTGTAGACAATTGACGTGCCCTACGGTTTTATTTTAGTCTAGTCTATGCATATGTTTATAATTCCCACGACTGTATCTATTTTATTATTTTTTGGTTTTTAGTACATTTATCTTAAACATTGCAATGTATGTTTAACATAAAACCGTTTAACTTAAAAAGTTTTTTTACCTATTTTTATTTTCTAGTTTTTAGTTTTTATTTCGCATTCTGTTTAATTCATTTAGTGCTTCATTATTGCAAGGTCCCTTGCCAGTTATAATGTTATATATATATATATTTATATATTATATAATATTTTTTTTTATTTTTATTTTTTTTATTTATTTAGTTTATTGTATTGTCACCAAAATCCAAAGTGTATACAACATTTCAGATTAATCGGTTGACAGGAAGAGGGTGAAATTTGAATTACTAAATTTGACCCAAGAATAAAACAAACGGGGTGAGCTAAATAAAACCGTTTAAAAAATACAAAAAGAAGTTTCCATAGCTTCTGGCTAAGTTTAGAAACTCCGCAGGGTTCTAAGCTACCAAAATCATAGAAAATTATAATACTAGCTGATCCGGCAAACGTCGTTTTGCCATGTATAATAAAAAATAGGGGTTGATCGTAGAGGGGTGAAAATTGGGGGTTGTATGTATTTTTTAAAGTTGTATCATGAAAAAAAAAACTTTATCTAAAAATTAAAAAGTAATAATTTAGGCGTGGACTACCCTTAACATTAAGGGGGATGAAAAATAGATGTTGTCCGATTCTCAGACATACCCAATATGCACACAAAATTTCATGAGAATCGGTCAAGCCGTTTCGGAGAAGTTCGAACGAAGTTCGAGTGTCGAAACACCGCGACACGAGAATTTTATATATTAGAAATAGTATTTTTTCAGTAAATTGTGTTTTTTATTTGTTATTTAAAAAACAGGTAATTTCACAACTAGCAATAATCATTTCGAATAACATTTTGAATTTTGAGTGGTAAGACCAAAATTATTGTAAGAATTACACGAGCTACTTTTTTTACGGGTATTAAAATTAGTAAAAAATATATCATAAAGTTTTGCCATAAGAAAAATAAAAGTAAAAAAAAAAAACAGTTTTAATGCTTCAATGATTTTTTGCCTATTGACATGAAAAGGCCGATTACAGCTACATTTATTTTACGGGTATTAAAATTAATTAAAAAACCACATTATTAAGTTTAATTTACCATAAGAATAATAAGTCGAAAAAAAACATTTTTAATGCTTCAATGATTTTTAGCCTATCCACCAAAAAAAAATCCACCGATTACAACAAAAAAAGACCAATTAGTAGTAGTAGTACCATTCTTTTTCTATGATTTTGGTAGCTTAGAACCCTGTGGAGTTTTTAAACTTAGCTAGAAGCTATGGAAACTTCTTTTTGTATTTTTAAATTGAAGTCGAATGTTTGGTCAAATCCACTTAATAAACTTCTAACTTTAAAAACTTTTTTGAGTAGCTTTAACTAATTTTAAGAAGCTGGGATTTTTTTTACTTGAACATCATTTAAGGCAATCATTTAACAGAAAAAAACTGCGAAATACCTACAACAAAAAAGATATGAATTTTTGAAACCTCGCTGGCAGAAAACACAAAAAAATGTATAACTCGAAAACTACAAAAAATCGCGGAACATACATGGGGTATTTTAGTATACCCCCAGGTGTGAGTAATCTAAAAAAAATTATTGACGTCAATAGTTGGACCAACCTGTATACACGTACATATTACCATCTTCTCTTGAAGACATCCAGATAAATAGAAACAGACAAAATACATATATTTTAATAACTAAATCAATTTTTCTTTAGCCTGTTTTTCCGAAACGCGTTATTACGTCATTTACGTCAACGGGTACGTTTTCATGAACGTGGAGAAGTGCCAGTCCGGTTAGGCGATCTTCAACCATTGAAGATCTTAGATTTAATTCTGCGCAACGTAGAGAAAGACCTTTCTGCTGTCGCTTCGGTGACAGGGTAGTGTATCCAATTTTCCTATATACATATTGATGTCACAATTTAAAATAGGACTATGTTATGATATGTTGAAGTTTAGTCGTTCCGATTCCGATTGAGGTAAGGTCTAGCTAGATGTTTCATAGCGACAAGCGCGCGCAAGTGTGGCGCGGAAAATTCAAATTTTCGATGCGTTCATTCCCAAACGTTTGCCATCATGTATGATGTTATATTAAATTAATTAAATATTGAAGGTATGTAGTTACATATAATCTGTATGGTGACAAATTTATATATAAAATCATTATGTTCAATTAGTGGTCCACCTAAGTCCTGCTCAGGGGGGGGTCATGACCCCCATGACCCCCCCTGGATCCGCCGTTGGCTCGGCCTAAATGGGCGGTTTTCCCGCGACTAGCGCAAGGGCGTCTCCTGTGAGACTCGAACCTCGGCTTGGGCCGTCGCGGGGTGGTCGATCGCAGGAAGGGCAGGACGGAAGCTCACTGGAGTGAGCGAAGTACGAAGTAAAGGTCCTCGCCTTCCCCGGTGAAGGCGGTTTTTTACTCTAATCTGATTTTGAAGAACCGGATCGGATGCGAAGTTCTTTCTTACTTATATACGGCCAAAACCAATATGTAATCTCAATCCAATTTTAGCTGTCATAGACTGACAATTCAATCCATTTCTAAAGAAAAGCATGCCAATATTAAGTCCATGGACTGAGATACCAATCTAATTATTCAACCAATCGTTCAGAGGGCGGATAAGAAATTGAAGATTGCCCTCTGTATGAAAATGAATGTTTACTCATGCCAACAACCTATCTGTCCATTTTGACAGTTGCTTCGATTGGCCAAATCAATCTCGGATTGCTATCGGTGAAACTCGTATGATTTGGGTTTGGGATTGCGACCTAACTTAATATTCATTGGGAAAATTTATTCATCTTCGTCATCTTCCAGTTCTAGTGATAGTGATTTGGAAGTTTAAATGCAATTATCCGATTGGGATAGTAATTCTGAAGCTGGAAGAAGACAACGTACTTCTGTGCGAAGACATAAGAAGACAAGAATTAATGATGATGAACCAGCTAATGATATTGATCAAAGCGCAATTGACAACGCGGGAAATGCAAGTGTGCGAAGTAATCTTATAAGTGATTATTTTGCTTTATTACTATAATATTTTATAAATTACAACATTTTTGAGATAAATTAAATAAAAATTCAATGCTTTTATTCAAATAAAAATACAAATTTTTAATACAATACATCCTTGCTCCAGGCACAAAATCTATTATTTTTCTAATTTATTTAACAATATATTTTTTTCTATGGCCCATAATTCTCTTTTATGCTCTCTTGCTTCCTCTTCAATTGCCCATTGCTTTCTCTTATTTAGAAGCTCTTTCTTTCAATTGACTTTCAATTCCTTCGACAGACAACAATATCATGTCTTTGACTTTTTCCTTGATAGGGGTAAGAGGAGTAGCAGCACTAGGGCCACCTCCTGTACGATATGTTTCAGCATGTATCAAGGCAGACTTTTTTCTTGTAGCCCTCTTTAAGCTTTAGCACTGCGAAAGTTTACCCCACTTGTGCTATTAAACAGCGCCTCCAGCGTCTTCCAGCACTGCTCTTTCTCCTACCAGGTGACTGAGTCACTCTTTTTATTTTCTAATATATTTTTATGGTCAGCAACAAGCGAAGTTAGAAGGTCAACTTCTTCCCGGCTGAAATTGACGCTTCTTTCACGTTTCTACGTAGACATTTTTTTAAGTTAAAGAACCAACTCACAAAATCACAAAAACAACATACACAAACTACTCAGAGAAAATTTATATTTGAAAGGTCAAGCCGAAGGCGCCGAACTAAAAATTAAAATATTTACTAAAATACTCAATAACCTAACAAACAAAAATACCATATGAAAATGACAGCCCGTTTCGTTACAAGTAATATTAAATGACCAACAAAAAGGTTAAGGTTCTATGTTTTTCTATAGAATTTTGTAACTTTATTTGTTCGTAACAAAAAAACAAACAAAAACGTTGTATAGCTATTTGCTAGTTTATCCATACATTGTGAAACAGACCCTAAGTCTTACTTATTTTATTTCGTTCCAAAAACAGCAAACTTTTGGTATGCTTGAACACAATATATTGCATTGAACGAAACGCGGTCGAGAGGGAAGGATCACGCAAAAGATTGCTGTCAATCTTTTGTCAAATAAACGGGCGTGTTCGGCCGAAGTAAGTACTTACTAAACTTAGTAAGCCAGTAAGCATAAAAAAATTAAAGTCTTACAAGCTGACTGTAGCGCTTTTCGGCCAGGACAGACTTACTGGCTTATTAACATAACACAAAACACCGGTTTATGTCATATCCCGTACATAACCTCATAGACTGAATATAATTGACAGTACTAAATTTAGGAATATAATTTAATACCTGTGAATAGTTTCAAATGGATAATTTTCTGAGAAATATTTTATTGGATATTTTATTGTCCGTTTTGTTTACATCAACAATAAGCAAAATGGCGTCGTATATTAAGCCATACTTACTGCGTTAGCACTTATTTTGTGTCCCGGCCGAAAATTTTGTAAGCATAGTAAGTGACTTACTAAATTTAGTAAGTACTTACTTCGGCCGAACACGCCCAATCGGATAGCAGAAATGTTTATTGGCATGCAGATTGGAGATCGGTCTTTAGATATGAATCAGTCCAAGATTTTTTATAATCATAGATTGAGGATACATTATTAATTTTGGCCGATATACGAGTATGTTCGGACCCGAATGGGTTGGTACTTGAACTCTCGTGATTTGCGGTAGAACATTCAAACCACTACAGTAAAAGCAGATATTGAAAGTTACTTAATGCTTTATAAATAAAGTCTTATATTACAGATCGTACTTTCTTCTTTCAAATATCATCAGAAAAGTATGATTTACACGTTATTGAGACCTTGGCTACAAAACGGACTTCTCGTTAGCAAAGGTATTTACTATGTTTATTAACTTTTCTTACACGCGATATACTTATATATAAAGAATATATATAATCTATACTAATATTTAACGTGTCGGTAAAACATATCGATTTAAATTTTGTAGCTGAGTTTAGTTCACATTACCATTGTTTATTTTAAGGAGCACAGTGGCAAGAACGCAGAAAAATTCTTACACCAACATTCCATTTTAATATCTTAAAAAGATACTACCCTGCTATGGTGGACAGTACGGCACGTCTTTTGGAAGTGTTAGATAAAACAAATGAAAAATCAACGGATATACCACCTGTCATATCGGAATTTACTTTGACAACCATTTGCGGTAAATATTATGCCAAAAAATTACAATACAAATATATTTTTTATTAAATTTTACTTCAACCTCATCCCTAACACGGAAGAGACTTTATTATAGCATATTTCATGTATCTACTTTGATTTGCTGGGACTATCTTCCTTGGGATGCTGAACCACTTGGTGCAGCAGGCTGCAAGACTGTTTAATATTTTCTGAAGTTTCTGAACAATGGATACATTCACATAATAGACTCTCTAGGTACGTTATGTGCAATGCAGCTTTTGTCAGAGCCACGTCTGTTTTCTGCTCTAGTTCGCACCTGGATGCCCAAACGCCGGACAGTCCAGCAGCATGTACATGTAGCGATGTTTGTTCAGTCTTGTTATCTCAGTAGCCCTGGCCCGAAGTTTTAATGAGCAAAACATCCGTGACCTATCATTATTGGACCATCCGAGCAGTAGATCTTAATTTTAATTTATTTTGTGTGCTGTTTTTGTTTCCGGTATAAAACACTATTTAACATTGTCTGTTTCTCTCCCCCATTCTTCTATTGTTTTACTCTTTATGATTAGGATACTTGTCATATAAAGGAGCGCATTGAAGCTTCGTCGGCGCTAACTTCGCCAATTCGTCTCCTCCTTCTTTGTTGCATGGCTACGTTTGCCTATTTCTAATAAAAGCGTACGGATTTCTTGTTTTGTTAAATTGCAGTTACAATGATGATTTCTAATCTATAAATTTTAACAAATCACAATTTGTTAAGAAACGGCTCTTCGCACATGAGACAACAGATAATTTTATACTTCACTTTACATTTAGCGTCGCCAATTACTGTAATACAACATAATTTCATCAATAAAGCCAACACAATATAGAACTAGCCTCTAGAATTAAGCCTTACAATCTTTTAACATTTTCAAACATCAGTATTTATTTTCAGAAACTGCGATGGGAACAAAGCTAAACGAGGACGGTGGCGGAAAAAAGTACAAAGACGCTATCCACGATATAAAGAATGTACTGTTTCAAAGATTCGTTTACATACCACTTGCTATAGACTTTATATTTCGTTTAACGCCTTTATACAAACGCCATACAAAATCTCTATCCACCATTCATAACTTTACTCAGAACGTAATAAAAAATAGAAAGGAACAGCTTAAAGATATTTCAGAAACGAATGTTGTAAATGACGAAACTGATAAAGATTTACACTATGGGAAAATGCGGACAGCATTTTTAGACTTCTTAATATCAGCACAAAAGGATGGGTTAACAGATGATGTTGGTATTCAAGAAGAAGTAGACACTTTTATGTTCGAAGTAAGCAGTAAAACTCTCTTGATATCATTAATTAATAAGTTACTTAAACTTAACAAAACATGTTTTCAGGGTCACGATACCGTATCATCTGCCATAACGTTTTGCCTACTATTGTTAGCAGAGAATAAAGAGATACAGGTACCAGTTTCAAACCCATGACTTCGATTACAAAAAACTATGTTAAGATCAAAGTAACAATTTATGAGATACAATATAGTGTCACGATGGACAGGAAAATCAGTAGTTATTATTAATGATTGCAGAACAGAGTAGTAGATGAACTGCAAACAATATTTATTGGAGACACAAGAACCGCTACATTGGAAGATATATCGTCAATGCATTATCTCGAATGCTGCATCAAAGAAAGCATGAGGTTGTATCCACCAGTGCCATTTATCAGTCGAAAACTACCCGAAGCCGTCACTTTAAGTAAGGTCAAAGAAACAAACACCAATTTATTATTATTATAAAAACGTACTAAATTCCTCTTGTTGCATGAAGTAAGTAATTTATGAAAGGTTGTTTATTGACATAATAAAGATAATTGCACAATCTCGTATAATAAGGAATTTACTTATTTAATTTTTAAATACTTCGAATATAAGCGCTTCATACTCACATCCTTGTAAGTTAAAGTACTGAATACAACGTAGAACGTAATATAATTATGTTTATAGATTCCCGGCATTTGCTAAACATTTCCTTTTTCCGTTTCATCGGGTTGACTAAGCTGAATGTTGCGGCTAAAATAACGGCTGTATATAAAAAAATCTATAAAACGATACTTTATATTATATTTTCAGTGCTATGCAGTTTTGTGTATGAAAAAGTTAAAACATGGAATTCTTCAATATGATTTGAAGATTCAATTGGCTATTAAAATTTCTCTAAAAAAGCTGACGCCCTCGCTGTTCACTTAGCAAAAGTATTCACGCCTAATGAAGCTGAACCAGACACTAATGATTCCTTCATAGATTCGGTCCTAAGTCAAGACTTCTAGCTCGATTTGCCGATTAGGCTTACAACGCCGAAAGAAGTCGTGGCAACAATCTCAAAATTGGAGAACAAAAAGGCTCCCGGGTTTGATTTAATAGACAAAAAAGTCTTGAAGGAACTTCCCAAAAAAACCATAGTTTTTCTAACCATCCTATTCAATGGCATAATAAGAACTGGACACTTTCCATAGCTGTGGAGTTTCACAAGTAATTATGTTACCTAAAGTAGGGAAGCCAGTGAACGAACTTAGCTCATACAGGCTGATTAGTCTGCTAACCGTAACGTTAAAACTTTTTGAGTCGGTCCTACAGCACAGATTATTGGAGGAGATTTATCAAAGAGCCATAATCCCGGACCACCATTTTGGTTTTCGCCAGCAGCATGGCACTGTGGAACAAGTCTATAAAATCTGCTCTGTAATAAGGAAGGCTCTAGAGAGAAAGGAGGACGCCATCCTAGACGTGCAGCAGGCATTTGATAGAGTATGACACAAAGATCTCTTGTATAAAGTAAAAAACTCTTCTACCCTATACACTCTTCCCCATCATAAAATCTTATCTAACAGAAAGAATATTTCAAGTAAGAGAAGAAGATTGTACATCGCCATTTCACTCAATCAAAGCTGGTGTACCGCAGGGGTCTGTCCTGGGCCCAGTCTTATATACCATTTACACATGTGATTTACCACAAAGCGAACACGTCACATTAGCAAAATTCGCAGACGATACCGCTGTACTGGCATGTAGTAATAGCCCAATCGAAGCTTCATACTTCCTACAGATTGGATTGCAAGAAATTGAAACCTGGCTTTCAAAGTGGAGAATAAAAACTAGTGTGACAAAATCTGTTCATGTAACCTTCACTCTCCTTAGAAGAGACTGTCCGCCAGTAACTCTGTGCAATCAACAACTCCCGCAAGAAAACTGTGTAAAATACTTGGGAATACACTTTGATAGGAGACTCGTATGGAAACAACACATACAGAAGAAGAGAGAAGAAATCAACCTGAAATACAGAGGACTCTACTGGCTGCTTGGCAGAAATTCCAAACTGTCAGTAGATAATAATAAGCTACTCATATACGAAATGCTCTTGAAACCAATTTGGACATACGGGATTCAACTATGGGGTTCGGCGTGTGACTCTAACATAAGTATCATACAGAGGGTTCTAAATTACATCTTGAGCTAAATGTCCAACTGTCCGTGGTTTATAAAAATATCGGAGATTCATGAGCACCTCAAAATCAGGACTGTCAAAGAGGAGATCAAGACCTGGAGTATGAAATACAGAAAAAGGCTAGAAATGCTTCCTAATAAGCTTGCCACGCAACTAATACTAATAATACCGGACCTAATAAATACGCTTAAAAGGCGACAAATCCTAAGTCTCTAAGAGGAGCAGTCTCGATGGAGATGTTGCTCTGAACGCCTAACAGCTCTCAACACATCTGCTCATAGTCTAGCTGACTGATTGCAAGATAAAGCACTCACTTATAAAAACGAAAAAAAAATCTTTAAAAATTATGTCCGAATTAGATTTCGATTCACTCGTTTTTGGACTGAGAATTTGAAGAGTTGTCTCAAAGTCTTCTGGTAATAAAGTTATTGGATTTCAGGTAACTACGTCGTGCCTAAAGGATCGATGTGCCACATACATATCTTTGACCTCCATCGGCAAGAAAGTTTGTTCAAAAATTCTTTAAAGTTTGATCCAGACCGCTTCCTGCCGGAATACAGTGTGGGTAGGCACCCCTACGCCTATATTGCGTTTAGTGCTGGCCCAAGAAATTGTATTGGTAACTTTATTGGTTTTTTATTAATTTTAGATAAATATTAGCAGGAGTTAATAGATGCGAAAAAAAACATTGACATCATGGTTTTGTCGACTGCGTGTAAGATTAGAGTAAAAATCATTGGTAAACAGAATAACATACAGAAATGTTTAAATATCAATTTTTGTGCCGTAGTAACAAGGGGGTCTTGATTTTAAAATATTAAGTTCGTAAAATTTTGTAACAAAAGGTTATACATACTTTAATTGTTTTAATTTAATTATCAACAAAACTCTCACAAGTATATTTTATGCACCTATGAAACGTATATATCAAACAATAAAATTTCAGGTCAAAAATTTGCCATGATGGAAATGAAGTTAGTTTTATCATCCATACTTAGAAGATTTGAAATTAATCCCGTCACGAAATGTGAAGATTTGAAGTTTACAGCTGATATAATCTTGAAGAATTCAGAACCGATAAAGATGAAGTTCATCCGAAGGCTTGGCATGAAAATAGGATCTAAATCTGATGATGTATAATTTATTTGTAATTAACTTAATTTATCTTAACATCATTTTAATAACGAGTTCCGTTAGAATCATCAAGCAACAAAGATTAGAAGTAATGTATCTATTAGTTCAGAAGGTCAGTACTGGATTCATATCATGTGCGCAAAGTAAAAACAACCCGATATCCTGTATTACGTATTGGAAAATAAGTAGTATATATAGAAGAATTAGTTAAACGACTGTCTAATGTGTTTTAAAGTCAAATCTATGAATTTTTGGAATTACGATTACTGTGTGGAACTGCCAAAATAAATTGTCGTTCTTAACTTTTTCACACAATAATATTTTGTCTTATTAAATTTTTCCATCCAGTTTTATCTAATATAATATATAGTAATATAGAATAATAATATCAAGTGTCAAAGACAAGATTATTGGGGACAAACGGGCTGGAGGCCTAGTCGATGTTAAGCGACACCGCCGACCTGCCTCTGAATGGATGAATCATACATATTTTACTCTGCCAAAAGGCTCGCGAGTGCGTTGCTAACCTTATTTTTCGAACCTAAATGTATTCCATCTTCTTACAATCTATGAAATTTACACGTTTCAAGCAGTAAGAATTTTCCCGCCAACAATTTCAGATAGTTTTATCACATTTAAAAGGAGTTTTCACAATATAATATTAATTAAATGTTTTACTTGAAGTAGGTACAGGCGGTTACGTAAACAGTAATAATATAATAAATCGACAAGTTCAGACTTAAATATACGTCGTATTATTAAATACCTACATATAATAGGGAGATGATGATAAAAATTAGCATAAATTAATTGGGCATTATTTACGAGTCGCGTACAACGAACGGTGTTCTCGATGTAAAAAAAATCTTGTAAATAAAATGTTAACAATTATATTATTCACTTTAGTCTTGATATTATGTTTAGTGGAAGTGTTCGTTAATTTGAATGAAGACGCTAGAACTATAAAGAAAATTCCAGGCTTTAAAGATGTATTTTTCTTTGGAAATTCCACTGCTGCTTTTGGAATGGATTCAGGTAAAAAGATTTTGATAGTTCTGTCGCAAGAATGCGTTGCGTAGCGTAGTATGCTATTTTTTTTCTGTTACAGTCGGCTTGTTCAAGTTAGCCAGGGATTGTGCTAAAAAATTCAATGGAATTTTTAGATTTTACAGTTTATCCATAGCAGCAGTTCATGTTTATAATCCCAGTGACGCTGAGGTATGTCCGTTTAACATCGTAAATAGTCTTAGTGTGCATTTTTTTAATTTCATCTTGTTAATTTATTAAGCGTTAAATTATTTCCTAATACATTTATTATCTAATTATCATATGTGTTAGTAAATATCTTTTTCAGTTACATATCAGGATCCCTCTCCGGTAAAGGCTTCCTCTAAGGCCATCTTTCTCTATCCCGAGATATTTGGATCCATTAGGGACCCGCGATTTTTTTGATGTCATCATCCCATCTAGCGAAGGATTGGCCTCTGTAGCGTTTGCCAGATGGGCCTCACCATGAAGTTACTGTTTTCGTCCACTTGTGATCTGTGAGGCGCGCTACATGACCCACCCTCTTCCACTTTTTGTGTGGCTTAAAGCATCAATTGCTTTCGTCTCTGATCTTATTTTTGTGTGTTCTATCTTGTGTACCTTTTTAATGTTTAGCATGCTCCTTTCCATGCCTGGTTGACATGTATTTATATTGTTTTTTTGTATTATTTGTAAATTTCCATGTTTGGAATGCATATGTCAGACATGGAATAAGGCATGAGTCCAAAATTCTCTTCTTAAGTATTATAGGCAGATCACTCTTAAATATTTCTTTGCAACATCAATATTTATTTCAGCGTAACTCTTCTCTCTTTTTCTTGATCATATTTCTCGCTGCTGAATCCAATTTGTTTACTCAAGTAAATATACTTTACAACATTTTATAATTCCATCAATCTGTCACTAATTAGTACCAAGACATTTGTATGTAAAAGTACTAATGATATAAGAACTTACTAAAGACAAGATATAATTTAAACATTACAAGAAGAAGTATGAAAATGTTGTGTTGTTCATCATCATCAACTTTATCACATGAAAACAAGTTTAATTATTTCATTTATATTCTGTGGGACGAGTTGCTCAATAATATTATTGTATATTAGGAAGAAGTTCGAAATTAAGTAGATATTAATTTCAGGTCAACAATTATTTTTGTTTATTTCCAGCACTTAACAATTTGTTAGTAGGGAGATAATTTTATCTTGCCCAATCTAATGTCGTAAGCTTACATAACTGTTTTATTTGTGACGTTTTTAATTTTTTTATTGATAAGGTATTTCTGAACGGAGACGAAAATACTTTTCTATTAGTAGGTAGTAAGTAGTGTGCCGCTTAATGTACAACGAATAAGCTGTTGAGTTTATTTATTTTTTTGGTTTGACTATCGAGGAAGGACATTTACAGTATACAGTCCTCTACAGTATAACCTATCTTATAGGTTGACTCACTTAAACAAAACCTAAAAATATTATAGCAATTTAATATGTTCTAAAATAATACATTATTTTCGGAGTTGTTTTTATATAAAATCATATTAATGCAATCCCATCATACGTCTATAGCAATCTAATTTACGATAAATTTAATAATTTTCTAATAATCATTGATAGTTTTGTTTTGTAATTTAAATTATTTTTTATCGAATGTCTCAGCTTTTATTATTAGTATATTAGTTTTGTGTGTTTTTTTGTGTTATGTATAGTTTTAGGTTGGTAAATTTGCGGTCAAATAAATTTCATATCTGGAAATTATTAGGTATATTTATTTTCAGATTATCATGTCAACTATGAAGCATCGTGAGAAAAGTATTATTTATAAATTTTTTAAACTGTGGCTTCATGACGGTTTATTAGTAAGCAAAGGTACAAATTTCTGTTATTGTTCAACTATTTTTTACATGCCAATCCAAATTAAAATTGTTTGCTTTAAGCTATCCCAAGACTTTTAGTACTATGGCTATTTTAATTAAATATCGTAATAGAATGTCCCATCAAAAATGTGAAATGAATTCAAAAAGTTTAATAGTGAATGTAGAAAAGTAGTAAAAATTAACCACATAACGCTAAAATGTTTCAGCAATGATTTCAAAACTATTTACTATATCAAAGAGATAATAAAGAGTGTATAACTATCTATATTGTTCAAGGATCAAAATGGCAAGAACGAAGAAAAATTCTTACATCAGCATTTCATTTCAACATTTTGCGCAAATATTTTCTCATTATTGAAGAAAATAGCCAGAAGCTGGTGAATGTAATGGAAGAAAACAGTGGGAAATCCATCAATATCGTTCCAATATTGAGCGAATACACCCTTAATTCTATAAGTGGTATATTAATTTTTACTACAAACATACTTTATACATAAATCTTAAAAAAATATTAACATTACATATTTTATCAGTCACGGAATGTAATGAGTTCTTGAGTGATCAACCCTGACTTATTTTAGTCTAGTTTTACTTCTTTAAATTTAATTTAAAAACATTTAGCAGATACTTCAGCTATTTTTTGTGCAATAGAAGTATAATTATAAAATTGTACTAAGGTGTTATGTAGAATACGTATATTACGTCAAGTACCTAAAATCATTAATATGACAAATGGAAAAGACTGGCTTGCCACGATACAGGAAATCCAAGTGTGGAGGCTAGTACACTATTTTTTTTAACAATACTTCGCTTTTATTACGTGTAATAAAGTTTTTATCTTTTTCTTATCTTTATGTGGTTTTTCTATTTTACAGAAAGTGCAATGGGGGTAGAGCTTGATAAAGATCCCATGTATTCAGGTCTTACTTATAAGACCGCAGTAAACGAAACTATTAAAATTTTTGTTCATCGTTTCATTCGAATTTACCTCTATCCAGACTTTTTGTTTAATCTGAGTCCTGCTGGCATCAAACAGGCGCGATATTTATCGATAATTCATACGTTTATCAAAAATGTTATTAATAAAAGGAAACAAAATTTTCAAAATAATGAAATAGAAAGCGACACCTTAGCTGACAATGATAATTACGTTTATAAGAAGAAAAGTCGTGCAGCAATGTTAGATTTGCTGATCTCGGCTGAGAAGGAAGGACTTATTAACGATGATGGGATTTTAGAAGAAGTTAACACTTTCATGTTTGAGGTAAAGCTTCAATATTATTAATATAAGGGTAACGTGAATTCAGCCGAAAAGAACTCATTCCATATGACACAATTAATTACTTTAACCCCAATAATACTTTACACATCTTCATCAAATAACAAAGCTGGGTGAGTTCTAGTTAACATTTAAAATCGAATTCACATTGACCTGGATCGATATTTATTTTTACGAACTCACACGATAATTTGTTTTTAATTACGATTATCTCAGTAAAAGATAGTTAAAGTTCTATTGTAGAGGTCGTGTACTTCTAGAATATTATATATATTTTTTCATTATTTATTTGTAGGAATTACCGTTTTATTCAGATTTGATATCAAGTAATTAATCAATAACAGATAAAATCCAGAAAAATATCGAAGTCTACCTAAAAATGTTAAATAACTTAATTTAGTAAATGATAAAATAAGATTTGATCCGTGTACAATTCAGTTTGAACATGCTGTTTGGCAAACCGAACAACCAAAATTGTGTCTTCTCGAATTCTTATCACACTACAGTACACAGAGGCTTCCGGAGTCACCTTTACATTCTACTAGTGGATTGTTCGTCTATTTTAGAAATAGATGCAATGTCCTGGTAATAAACAAAAATAAATTATATTTCAGGGCCATGATACAACAGCGGCCGGTTTGACATTTTGTTTATTAACATTAGCTGAGAATCAAGATGTTCAGGTAATCATAAATTATAATAATCCTGTGGCACTACCACCCAACATGAGCCTAGGTCTGAGATGGTCACGTTTCTTATTTCTTCCGTTCCTTATTTTCTTCTAAAGACAAGTAGGTCATTGACCTTATGTGCAAATCATGTCGTATTTTTGGGTCTAAAACAACGTTTTTCTCACGATTTTAACCTTCGCTGTACGAGTTAAATGCGCATAGAAAACTCCTGCTGCACATCAGCACCATCAGTCCCACACTTAAGCGACAAGACCTACACTACTCAGGTAATTATATGCAGAATTTCTCTATATCTATAGATATTTTATTTATTTAAATTATGTCGGGTTAGTCTTATTATTCTTTTTATGTCAATTTTGTTTTCAAACAGTGATAATCTTATATTATTGATAGGTATGTTCTTATATAGATATTTCGAGACTGGCAGCTAAATACAAAGAGCGGTTAACCTGTCACCCGAACGAACTTGCTCGCCAATTCACCATAAAACAGTATGTGAGACCACTAAAACGTCACCATATTCTAGAGTGACAAGACCGGCAGTTGCTCTAGGCAGAAGATGAGTAGATGCTTCAAATGGGAAGCCACTCGGCACTCCACATGACCGCACCACAGAACAGATTCGTTCATAGCCTTAGAGCTGATTGCAAATATTCGCAGAAAAGAAATAAACTAAGATTTTTCAATGATAAACACAATTTTAAGCAGCTATTACAAAAATTATCATATATTCCGATTTGATTTTGATCGCTAGAAATCTTGCTTTGGATAGTATTGAAAATTGTAAATAAAACTTAAACTTTAATCTCATGTCAGTACATAACCATTATTTATTGTGTTTCTAACGGGTAACGTACATTTATGTTTGGTGTAATTATTGATGTAGAGTTGAATTATTTTTTAATTGAGATCCTCGGAAAAAATATTGATGAGAACCGTGTTTGTTACCATGGTTACCATTTTACATGGAACAAGCCGGTGTAACAAACAACCTACTATTTCTAGTCCATGTTTCTTAATAATAGCGTAAACAATTTATTTCTTCTCAGGAAAAAGTTTATCAAGAATTGCAAAGTATATTTAACGGAAGGGAAGATGTTACTTTAGAAGATTTAACAATGATGAATTATTTGGAGCGATGCATAAAAGAAAGTATGAGATTGTACCCGCCTGTTCCGTTTATTAGTCGCACTTTGAGTGAAACAGTTAAATTGAGTAAGTATCATTTTAATAACAATTATAATTATCTAAAGACTTAAGACGCGCATTTCTTTATAAAGATCTGTATCTTGCTTGATCTTTCACTAAAAATGTGCAAACTTAAGTGTCTTTATATAGTTGAAAAGTTTATCTATAAAGTCGGAAACACACTTACGTGTCGTGGCGTGTCGACGCGCCAGAAGCATATTTTAGTATGATTAGACATAACGTGTTGCGACACGACACAACAATATGCAAATATGTTTCTAATCATATTAAATGTATGAAACCAATCTGCTTCTGGAGCGTTAAGACACGCCACGACACGTAAGTGTGTTTCCGACTTAATGTATATGTCAGAGATTATGTTATACAAGAACACGACTAGAATCGATCGTTGAGTACCTGAGTAGAGTTGCTCTCTGATCGGCGGCTGCGCCGGACAAGCGCACTCACTGTGTTTAAATATTAAGTAATAATGTCGGACGACGGTAGTGACACCACTTTTGTAATTATTAATCGCGTTGAATCTGCGACATATATACGTGTGTAAGCTAAAAATGTAAAGACAGAAAAGAAAATTAACCCCACGATTTCAGTATCTTTTTATACTTTACCATATCTACTAACACTACTACTACATTTTTAGGTAACTACACGGTACCTGTGGGGACTATGTGTCACATTCAGATATACGACATGCATCGCCAGGAAACCTTATTTAAGAACGCTGAAAAATACGATCCTGACCGTTTTCTGCCTGAAAATAGTTTTGGGCGACATCCTTACTCGTATATCCCCTTCAGTGCAGGACCGAGAAATTGTATAGGTATTTATTTATTTGTGAAAAAAAAAAAAACACATACATCTATACAATAAAAAAAGTCATAACATAAAATAAACACATTGGGTGTATCCACAAAAAGTTTCACTGATAAAAAATATGATACAAAGCAAAGCAAAACAAAACATGACAGCACAAAATTTATAAATTCGGAGAACGACAAACAAACTTGTAGCTATAATAAAGAAGAAATATACAAGAATTAGGACATTAATAGTTTATTTAAATTATTCTTAAATGAAACAGTAGAGGAGTGCGAGTGCAAGTGAAGGTAGGTTAATTGGTAGTTATGAATCTTGGCAAGATCTAGGTAAGGCAAACTTCGGGCCTAGTATTTTTTTTTGGCTACAGTTATACCCTGTTAGCACATTTGCGGGTCTGTCTTGGTTATTCTTATCAACTATTATTACTTATTGCAGGTCAAAAGTTCGCAATGATGGAAATGAAGTCAGCAGTATCAGCCTTACTGAAAAATTACAAGCTGTTACCAGTTACAACATCGAAAGATCTTGAGTTTATAGCTGATTTAGTTTTACGAAATTCAAAACCTATATACCTTAAGTTTATTAAACGACATTGATGATTTAACAAATTGCTATAGATTATATTGGATTGTTCAAACCTTAGTTTTTTAGTATATATTTAAATAAAATATCGGATTATTAATTCCTTTTTTACGTATAAATTAGGATTATTTTAGCGTCCTTTAAATTACTAAATAACTCGTATGTGACCAGCTTTCCGTGATTACATAATTATTTTTTAATAAATAATATCTACGATAAAATTATAAAGTACGAAAGAATGTGATGATTGGAAGTTTACAGCTGATATATTCTTAAAGAATTCAGAACCGATAAGGATGAAGTTCACTCGATGGCTTGGCGTGGAAATAGGATCTGATGATATCGTTACGAGCTAGGGGATCGGATAGAAAATGCCGTTGATTTCTTCAAGGGTTTATTTTCAACAATCTACGAGGAATTTGTTTACACTAAAAACTGGACTTCACTGATTACACAAACACAAAATACTGTCACAAATTCAAATTAAAAAAGCATTTAATCATAGGTAACATATTGTACACTTATGATCGTCAAAAAAAATAAATGTATATGAAATGCTTTTGACTTTACATTTAATGCCAGTTCTCAAATCAAGGGCGTAGAACGGAAGAGAAAAACTGGCAATAAACTCTCCGCCACTCTTTTTAATCGCCATGTTTTTTTTAGACAACGTTTGTAAGGAGCTGCAATTACTTTAATTACACGTATTCCTCACAGTATTTTATCACTTGTCTTCACTATATTAGCACTTTATCTCTTCGGTATTTATCTCTTGCAATCGCATTCAAAACTGAACTAATTGGTCGAGTTTTGGCTCGCTTATATATCCCTGGGAATAGTCTTGAACGATGTTCGAGAACTCTTTAGGCGCTACTGAGTAGCGATCGCACAATTCTAGAACGTCCGTACTCTTTGTCTCTATCGCACATTGCTCAGTCCTTGTCTACGGCGTTCAAGAGTGCTCAGTCTAGCTTTGAGAAGGTGCCGATCTTCCTTCTCTCTCACGTATCGTACCGTCCTTGTCTCACACCTAGAAAATTCGGTCTAGAATATTCCTTCATCAAATGCGTATAACTAGGCCTGAAAATGCCTGAAAACGGGTCTCCTGATAAGTGTACCACTTGACTACACTTGTTCTGAAACTGTCTGAAAAATCTTTCAGCCTCCTGAAAACTAAGGTAACATTAGTCGTCGTTAGTAGTTTGGTAAGTCGCACTCTGATGAAACAGTTAAATTGAGTAAGTACCTTTTTCGTAACAATTAGGTATAATCATCTAAAAATAATGTATTTTTAATTAGGTATATATTATATTTTTGGGTTTCCTATATCACACTTTTTTAACGCTTCATATTTCCGGAACTGAATTTTTTTATTTTATTTCGTGTAACTACTTAAACATATAATAATACATTATTAAAAAAAAATATCTACGATACAATTATAAAGTACGAAAAAATGTGAAGATTTGAAGTTTACAGCTGATATAATTTTGATAAATTCAGAACCGATCCAGATAAAGTTCATCCGAAGTCTTAGGGTGAAAATATGATCTGATCATATATAATTTATTTGTAATCATTTTAATAATGAGTATCGTTAGCATATTATGAAGTAATAATGTTTCTATGTATGCAATAGTTCAAGAGGTCATCACTGTATTCACATCATGTGCGTGGAGCAAAAACAACGGAAATATTATCCTGTATTACGTAATAAAAAATAAGTAGTATATATAGAAGAATTAGTTAAACGACTGTCTAAAGTGTTTTGAAGTCAAATCTATGAATCGTTGCAATTACGATTAGCCAAAATAAATTTTTTTTGGCGACAAACGGGCTGGAGGCCAATTTCATGTTAAGTGGCAGGGCCTCTGAATGAATGAATCGTACACTTACTCTGCTGAAGGGCTCGCGAGTGCGAGAGCTCAATATATTCTCGTTTTAAACGAAACCATCCTCCTCCATTGCACGTTTCCCGCAGTAAGAATTTTCACGCCAACAATTCCAGATACTTTTATAATGTTTTATCATATTTAAAAAGGAGTTTTCACAATACACAACAACACAATATCAATGAAATGAATGTTGAAGTAGATTCCTGTGTGACTGTTACGTAAACAGTAATAATCAATGTACCAGTTCAGACGTTCTAAATTATATTTTGTATTATTAAATACTGTATCTAATAGGGAGATATAATTATAATGATAACAGCATAATTGAAGTGGGCATTGTTTGCGAGCAGCGTATAACGAACGAATAAATAAAATGTTTACGATTATTTTATTCACATTACTGGCGATATTATGTTTAGTGGAAGTGCTCGTTAATTTTAATGAAAACGCTAGAACTCTAAAAAAAATTCCAGGCTTTAAAGATGTGTTTTTCTTTGGAAATTCCACTGTTGTTTTTGGAATGGATTCAGGTAAAAAGATTTTTAAAGTTCTGTCGTAAGAATGCGTAGCGTAGTTTATGTTAAAAAAGTTCTGTTACAGTCAGGTTGTTCAAGTTTGGCAGGGAATGTGCTAAAAAATTCAATGGAATTTATAGATTCTACAGTTTATCTATAGCAGCAGTTAATGTTTTTAATCCCAGTGACGCTGAGGTATGTCCGTTTAACATCTTAAATAGTCTTAGTGTGAATTTTTTAAATTTCCTGTCTCTGCCACAACATCATTAAATTTAATTAATACAACACAATTAATACATTAAAAAACTAACCTTAAAATATAATAACTAAAATATATTATTAAAAGGAGTCCCTTAGGCAAGGTTCCGAAGATACTGGCAGCGTTCCCCCTTTGAATAGCTAGACTATATATTTGTCCGAAGTACCTAGCTGCCAGCTCTTCGGTCTCCTGTGATGTCGACTAACTTTTTTTTTACATTAAATTTGTTTGTACTAATGATAAAATAACTTACTAAAGACAAGATAGAATTTAAACATTTTAAAAAGAATTATAAAAATGTTGTGTTGTTAAGTATATTTTATAGTTACCTCAACTCATCATCGTCATCACCTTTATCACATGAATACAAGTTTAATTATAACAATTTCAAGTCTCAACATAGTTACATTATGTGTGCCATGCCATGACTTATTGTTCAATATAACTCATGGCATGGCATTGTTAAATAAATAAAATATTGCTAAATTTCAATTTAAAATTATTTATTTATTTATTGATAAGGTGATTGAACGCAGACCAAATACTTTTTTGTTACTAGTAGTGTGCCGCTTTATCTAAATAAACTGTAGAGTTTATATATTTGTTTGGTTAGACTATACAGGAAGGACGTTAAGCGTCACACTACTAGTAATAGAAGCAGAGCATGACTAAAAAATATTTGAAAAAAAACGGACATGAAAAGTCCTCTACAGTATGCCTATCGTATAGATTGACTCACTTTAACAAAAGCTTAAAGTGGGTAACCTAAAAATATTGTCGCAATTAAATGTGTTCTAAAATAATTAATTATTTCCGAAGTTATTTTTATATAAATGATATCAATCCTTGCTCCAAATAAATACGCTATATGTCATAAGTATATAATTTTGAACAACATTGCCCTTGACAGTATGTATTTGATTTCAATATCTGTGGAGATATTAAAGTGTTCAAATCTTCCTCATTGTCGTTGTCCCTGCACGTCGTTCCTGTTTTAAAAGCCCTAAAAGATAGTCGACTTGTTTCCACTGCAACACTTCTATATCCTCAGCTTGTCTCAAGGCATTTGGGCCCATGATAGTCTTAATTTGGTCAGACCAATGGGTAGGCGATTGACCCAGGCATCTCCTGCCATCAGTTCTCCCTACATGTTTGTGGAGATTATTCGGTTCTCTCTTGGCTATATTGCCATGTACCTAATCACCCATTTGTTAATTTGACAGTATTGTGGTGATCTTGTTGGTTCTTTATGCAGTCAATACATGATTTATATATTTTAAATATAACGTTATATATATAAATATGCATAATGCAAACCCATCATACGTCTATAGCAATCTTATATGTATATAATAAATATATACAATTTTTTAATCATATATAGTTTCGTATTGTAATTTAAATTATTTTTTATCGAATGTCTAAGCTTTTATTAGATTTGTGTTGATTATCTATAGTTTTAGGTTAGAAAATTTGCTGTCAAATAAATGTTATATTAGGAAATTATTAGGTATATTGTTTTTCAGATTGTCATGTCAACTATGAAGCATCATGAGAAAAGTATTATCTATAAATTTATCAAACCGTGGCTTCATGACGGTTTGTTGGTAAGCAAAGGTACAAATTTCTGTTATGATTCAACTATTTTACATGCCAAGCCAAATTAAAATTTTTTGCTTCAAGCTTTCCCAAGACTTAGTACTTTGGGTATTTTAATTAAATATTGTAGTACTAAATATCGTTACAGAATGTCCCATCAAAAATTTGAAATAAATTCAAAAAGTTTAATAGTGAATGTAGAAAAGTAGTAAGAAGTAACTAAATTTTCTAATCAGCAATAATTTCAAAACAATTTACGATGTCAAATAGATAACAAAGAGTGTATAACTAAGTATATTTTTCTAGGATCAAAATGGCAAGAACGAAGAAAAATTCTTACATCAGCATTTCATTTCAACATTTTGCGCAAATATTTTCTCATAATTGAAGAAAACAGCCAGAAACTGGTGAATGTAATGGAAAAAAACAGTGGGGAATCCGTCGATATCGTTCCAATATTGAGCGAATACACCCTTAATTCTATAAGTGGTATGTTAGATTTAACTACAAACATACTTTACACGTGCTATTAAATGTAAACAGCGGATTTTTAATAATAGTAAATAAAAGCTGCAATAAATCTAAAAACATATTAACATTACATATTTAATATTATGTTATCAGTCACGGAATGTAATGAGTTCTTCAGTGATCAATACTGACTTATTTTAGTCTAGTTTAGTATAATTTCTTTAAATTTTATTAAAGCAACATTGTAACAGGTAGCTACATCAGCAATTTTTTGTGCAACAGAAGTATAATTATAAAATTTTTGGTGTCCTAAAATCATTAATATGCCAAATGGAGTAGACTAGCGGCTCACGACATAGGTAATCAAGGAACAAGTAAGGGGCTAGGGCACTCTACCTTTAAACTATACATCCTTTTTATTACATGCAACTAAGATTTTTCTATTCCTTTTCTTTATAAGGTTTTTCTATTTCACAGAAAGTGCAATGGGGGTAGAGCTTGACAAAGATCCCATGTATTCAGGTCTTACTTATAAGACCGCAGTATACGAAACTATTAAAATTTTTGTTCATCGTTTCATTCGAATTTACCTCTATCCAGACTTTTTGTTTAACCTGAGTCCTGGTGGCATCAAACAGGCGCGATATTTATCGATAATTCATACGTTTATCAGAAATGTTATTAATAAAAGGAAACAAAATTTTCAAAATAATGAAAAAGAGAGTGGCACCTTAGCTGACAATGATAGTTACGTTTATAAGAAGAAAAGTCGTGCAGCAATGTTAGATTTGCTGATCTCGGCTGAGAAGGAAGGACTTATTAACGATGATGGGATTATAGAAGAAGTTAACACTTTCATGTTTGAGGTAAAGTTTCAATTAATAATATTAGGGTAACATGAACTCAGCCCCTATATTCCATATGTCACAATTCATTACTTTAACCCCAATAAAACATTATTCATCTTCATCAAATAACAAAGCTGGGTGAGTTCTAGTCAACATTTGAAATCGAATTCACATTAACCTGGATCGATATTTATTTTTACGAGCTGTACGAGCGACTATTGTTTATTTTTACGAGCTCATATGATATTTTTTTATAAATTACGATCTCAGAAAAAAACTTAAAGTTCTATTGTAGAGGTCGTGTACTTCTTGAATATTATATTTTCGTCATTTATTTGTAGGAATTACCATTTTATTCAGATTAAAAGATATAATCCAGATAACAAAGCGTAATCTGAACATTTAGAAAATGATAAAATAAGATTTGATTTTTTGGTTTAAGAATAACTTTATTTCTCATAAGAATTGAAAATTCACTTACTGAGAAACACATATTTAAAACTAAGATTAAAAATTAGAGCGCACAGATGTAGGTACATATATAAAATAAGAAAACAGAACAGCACCAAAAATGTGGGTAGACATAAAAAAAAGGGTGCGTGTACTTATGTACGCGCGTAAGAAGTTATACTTCTTTGGCATTATTAAAAATAGTTTTTGATTGCATGCAAATAATTAATTACAATTAAATAATCAAAGACTGGAAAAGGAGTCATTAAAGTCAATAAAGTTCAGTTTACATTTGAAAAATTAATTAAATAAATATTTATTATTATTCTCTTACATTAAACAAATAAAACACTATTTATCTTTAAAACATTTTTATTTCATTATACTATTTATTTTTAAGTGACTCTAATGTCTTCATCAGAATTTCGGTTTGTAATTTTAAATTAATCATTACTTGGTTGTGCATCTACGAGGCTTCTCCAAAACTACTTGCTTTCTGCAACAAATAAGAGAATATTAATTTAAGCTCTGTCCATGCAAAACTTAAAATTTTTTATAATTCATATTATAAATTTTTTAACACATTTATATTAATATAATTATATAAATGTGTTAATAATATAATTTGTAGCACATGCTACAGACCTGGATAGCAACTTTCTTTTATTCTATTTAGAGATAGAGATAATTTAAATATAATACCGGTGTCTTCCTTGTAGGTTTCTTTGGAGTTGTTTGGGGATTCTTGTTGTTCAGTTCGACATGATTTTCTTTAACCTTTCTTTAATCCTACAAAATAATGAAATTGTTAAGTTATGTTGTCACTGTTGTGCACACCTTTGTTTGGCTTTTTTAGTATTCAAGTTATGTCAAAACTGATTTATTACCTTGTCATTGTTGGCTTTATTTGCTTTTGGGATATCAATTGTTTCCAAAATGATTTTATTTGTAATAACCTGAAATATATAAATAACATCTATTAATTTAAGTATCATGGTGAGTGGTTCGCACTCAGGTATTAAGGTGTATTATACCCACTGTCCATTATAAGTGGGAATGGGCTCACTTCTGGCAGGACAGAGTTTCGGTACTACAAGTGCAACATGGATGTTTTGAGGTATTACAATATCTCTAACTAGTAGGGGAATAAAGTAATGTTGTAAGCATATGCCTATGCTTGAAAGGTTGAACCTTGAACATCACCATACATCATATTTATAATTAACATTCCTACCTCGACACCATCACAATCAAATTCATTGAAATCTACTTCAAACCATTGTGTCTCGAGAAGGTGATGGTGGCTTTGTTCCACCTCCAGTTTTTGATGTTTCACGGCGATAAGATGACAACTCTTTTTTTGTATTCAATTTAGTGCACTTCCACTGATTCATCAATTGTTTTTTGTCTCTTGTCCTTATATTTGCTAGATTAAATCTGATGTTTTGATTAAATAATGTGGTCATTTTTTTGAGATGCAGGTACTTATTAAAATGTTTACTTCTCTGTTATATCGCTCCAAGCCTTCATTTTCTCCTTATTAGTATTCGTGCTTAAATCTTTGTTCTCAATTATTGATATATAGGGTCGTAGAATATTTCTAAAAAGTTGCTGTAACAAACGCAATAAACAAAAGCAATGAATAATGGTTCATGTTTCAGTTTTAATCAACAATAATACTCGATAATACATACGGATAGTTAACCTCAATTGTATTGAAGCACTCAGGAAGGTTAGCACAGTTTTTTCACAAATATTTTATATTATTTCACAAATATTTTGTATAATGAAAATAACTAGGTATATAATTATTAATTTTAAACAATAATTGAAACTCCTATATTTGTTTAAAAGGTAAATGTCATTGTCAGATGTCAATTGTCGTGGTCATTCAAAATTCTTGTTAAGCTGCTAAGCTAGAATATGCGTGAAGTTAGCTTCACGCATATTCTATTTCTTTACTTGTAGTTTGTCTTATTCCCATCTCGCTCGCGCACGCTATATCACACTGCCAATTTTGTGTCATAGGTGCGCGCGCAATCGTAAAATTTCACTCTCATCAATTTTTCATAACGCGCCTAAAGAAGTACAACTTCAAAAACTTGGTCAGTCAACCAAGCGAAACTCGGATGTTAGAATTTAATTTTTTCTAGAATTTAATTTTTTTCTAGATGTGGCATTGATGGCATAGTCTGATATAACAAGTTTATATTGATTATTTTATTATTTTTCATAAGACTATTTTATTTTCAGTTTATTCCTATATTTATATATTTAGGGTATGTACAAGGTTTATAAAACATTTTTACAAATTAAAATCACCTATAGGCAGATTTTGGTCAATATCAAATACAATTCTTTAACACCGTGAGTGGTGTTAGTTTAAAGTTCTTAAACATTATACATTTCAAGTGTTATCGCATTCTTGTCGATATATATATATATAAATATACATATTATATTTTGATCACTTATTTGTATGTAATTAATGTGTAAGTTTTTAGAAGCTTTTTAAATCGGGCATAATTTTGTTAATCTTTTATAACTGATGGTAACTTATTATAAATTGTACCACCCTCATACTCCAAACTTCTTTTGCCATAGTTAGTTCTAGGAGGGCGGGTCACCAAGTAACTAGCACGTCTTAAGTTAGCATTTCGTGTTTGTTGTTTGGTTAAAAATTTTATATTAGAATTAATTTCCCTATTTAATATTTTGCGTACTAGAATACAAGTGTAGTATGTGTACGTTTGTTTAATATTCATTAATTTTGTTTCCTCGTATATCCTTTCCGTAGGCGTCCGAAGTTTATAGTTAAATAAGTTTTTAATCAATCTATTCAGAGTTCTCTGGATAGGATCCAAATTACTCTTTGCTGCAGTACCCCAGACCTCAATGAGGTAGTCGACATGAGGCTTAACCAGAGAATTATAGATCAGATACCGCACTTTTTGTGGGAGACAATTTGTTATGTTTCGCAGTGCCCCTGTGAGCGGAGTTAGTTTAAGTTTAATTTTTTCTAGATGTGGCTTCCAAGTTAGGTTACTATCCAAAATAAGTCCGAGATATTTTTCTTTATGTTTTCGTTCAAGTATTTTTCCGTCTATTTTAAGTTCGAAATTATTATTTATTTTTTTATATTTTGCTGCAAAAATAACATAATTTGTTTTTGTAATATTAATAGTTAAAAGATTTGATTGAAACCACTCATTTAACAGATTAAGATCATTTTGAGCGTCAGCTATTAGAGCTCCGATCGAGTTTCCAAAGTAAAAGAGACTTGTGTCGTCTGCATAAAGGGAGATGTCACCTTTGAGACCCAAATCACTGATACTGTTAATATAAATGAGGAACATGAGGGGGCCTAATATTGATCCCTGGGGAACGCCAAAATTCAGGATACAGGAATTGCTTTCATATTCACCTATTTTTACTATTTGTTTTCGGTTCTCCATATATGATTTAAAAATTTCAAGTGCTTTTCCTGTAACACCGGTAAGTTTTAGTTTTTGTAATAATTTTTCATGACTAATGGTGTCAAAGGCTTTTTTTAGATCGATAAATATACCTAAGGCAACTTGTTTTTGATCAATTTTATTTTTAATTTTGGTTACGAGGTCAATTGTGGCAGCGAGCGATATTGTTTTCGGTAAAAGAAACCTTTTGAATTAAGGAATGACTCTAATTGGTTATAAAGAATCTTCTCAAAGACCTTAGAAAGCACTGGGAGAACTGATATAGGGCGATAATTGCACGGGTCAAGCTTACTTCCAGCTTTATGAATTGGTACAACTTTTGCAACCTTTAACTCGTTGGGAAAAATACCTCGTGCCAAATGATAGTTAATGCAGACTGTTAGTTCCGTGGCAATAATGTCTTTTACGCATTTAATTGATTTTGTACTAATACCATCAATGCCAGATGCAGTGTTAGAGTCCAAATTTTTAATTATGGTAATAACTTCTTTCGTGGTTACTGGTTTCAGAAATCGCAATTCTGTTCTATCAGTTAGACTACACTCTTCTAAAATCTGAGGTACTTTTGATTTTTTAGAAATCATATTTGCTAGGGTTGAGCCAATAGTCGAAAAATATGAGTTAAAACTTTCACATATTTCTTTTTTGTCCGTAATAGTACCAGCTGCCGTTTCAAGTTTGTCTGGTCCAGGTCTGTCATGCACTTTGTTTTTAGCTAAGTCATTTATAAGTCTCCACATTTTTCGTGGTTTACTAGAATTTTCTTCAAACCTCTTCAGATAATATTCACTTTTCGCTTTTCTTATATTGTGTGATACTCTTGCTTTAATAAGTTCATACTCTGCTTTTAATTTCGTGTCCACCGCATTTGTTTTATATTTTTGCCATAATATGTTCTTGCTATTTATCTCTTCTAATAGTTCTTTTTTAATCCAGTCTTGCCGCGGAGGATTCAATGTTTTAAATTTTGTGATTCTGCACTTATTTAAACAGGATTTCAGTTTCCCTGCCAATTCATCATACTCAACGTCTTCATGATTTTTAGGATATTCATCCAGGCATCGATAAAGTTTGCTGAAGTTAACTGCGTTGTATTGCTGTTTTATGATAGTTGGTGGTTGGTATTGCTTTATCTCTAAAAGTATTTGTTTGTGGTCAGACATTGAAGATTCCGTAGTGATAAAATGAAAATTATTTTCACTTAAATTACAAGATACATGGTCTAACATTGTCCTGGTTGAGGTTGTTTCGCGGGTACAGTGTTTTGGGCTTATTTTGTTCAGGATTTTGTAGTTGTTCTCTTTTAAGGTGTTCTTATATTTGCGTGTCGCTGAGTCCGGGTTGAGTAAATCCAGGTTGTAATCGCCAAAGACTATTGTTCGTTTCAGTTTGTGTTATTGTTGTGAATATATCTCGAGAAAGTTATCCATTTTTATTTTATTAGGCTTATAAATGGCACCGATATTTAGAGAGAATTTTTTCACGTATACCCAGAGATAATGAGTATCATCGACGCATTTTTCTTCAACAAGGTGATGTTTGAGATTGTTGTACACAAATATTGACACTCCACCGCCCCTTTTATTTTCTCTATAATTAAAGTAATGGGTATAGGAGGGTATCTGGAGCATTTTTGCCTCATCTTCACTCTTAATCCAAGTTTCCGTTAGTATAATGATATGTATGGTTACTTGTAAAGAAGCGATAATACATCTAAGCTCATCTAATTTTCCAGGTTTGACAATACTGCGAGAGTTGGCATAGAAAAATTTCAGAGATTTTTTTGTAAAAATAATATCTGTGTAATTGTTGGTTATTTGGTAAGTTATTTTCTCTTTGGACGTCATCAGTTTTTTGGAGTTTCCTTTATTGTTGTTTCTTGCGTTTATAAGTTCGGTTATATGAGGTAAAGCTAGTTTTTTGTAATTGTTGTAATTTTTGGTATGTTGTTTACATATTTTATAGTGAGATCTTTTTCACCCTTTTCGATCCTTAGGGCAAGTTCGTCTCGCAGACCTTTTAGCTGATCTCTTTGGTACGGGGTCATATCTGAATAAACTCTAACGGGTTTACCAATTTTACTCTTGTTTTTTAAAATATCGGTAGCGGCGCGTTTATTCTCGAAGACGACTTTTATCGGACGTGGCTGTGAGGGGTTAACGACTGCCGGTTTACCTAGGCGAAACACATGCACTATCTTGGGGTCAGGGATTGGTATTGGATTGAAGGCGTCAGCTATCTTAGCTTTGTCGTAATCCTTTCTTTCCTCTGAAGAACATGATTTTAATTCCGGTATACCAAACACAATAACATTGCAACTACGCTTCCTTCTCTCCTCTATTTCATTTATAACAGTATCCAAGTTGACAATGGACGGTTGAGTGGTCTTCAGAACCTCGACCTCTTGTTGGAGCTCAGTAACCAATCTACGCAACTCTGGAACTTGTCTTAAACCGGTCTCACAGTCATTACAAAGATACGATAGTTTGTGCGTCTGAAGTCCAAAGACACGCAGTTCGGTCGCAGAAAGACCGTTGCATTTGTTACAAATGAGTCGGCAACACCCTTTGCAAGTTACTTTGACATTTTTCTCGTCCATTTTAGCAAGACACTTAAAACATTGAGACATGATGGGACTCTTTAATGTCAATATATTTATTTTATTTTTTTCTTTGTTTTTTGAGGGTAGGTCTTTTATAGCACTTTTAAATTACTAATTTTTAGAGTGTTACACAACAATAGCTATGTTTCCAATAGTTCTAGCACAAGTTAAAAGTTTTCTCCAAATCACATACACTTTTCACTACAATCGCGCGTATACAACCATATAATTAAAATAAACAAACACAGGAGCTGCGTAATACGATGTTGACAGGTTGACGACGCACGGCGAAATAATCCATTTGATCCGTGTAGAATTCAGTTCTAATATGCCGTTTGGCAAAAGAACAACTAAAATTGTGTTTTGCTCGAATTCTTATCACACTACAGTACACAGAGGCTTCCGGAGTCACCTTTACATTCCACTAGCGGATTGTTATGCATCTGTTCGTCTATTATAGAAATAAATGCAATGTATAAACATAAATAAATTGTATTTCAGGGCCATGATACAACAGCGGCCGGTTTGACATTTTGTTTATTGACATTAGCTGAGAATCAAGATGTTCAGGTAATCATTAATAATAATAATCCTGTGGCACTACCACCCAACATGAGCCTTCGTCTCAGATTTTCACCGTTTCTTTCCTTATTTTCTTCTAAAGACAAGTAGGCCATTAACCTTTTGGTGCCCGACACATGTCGTATTTTCAGTATTTTGGAGTTAGTTGCGTTGCACATAGAAAATTCCTGCTAATGTGCACGGCACATACTTAAGCGACTAGACCATCACTACTTAGGTAATTACATGTAGAAATTTTATTTATTTAAATTACGTCGGGTTAATCTTATTATTCTTTTGTTTTCAAGCAGTGACGATCTTATATAATTGTTAGGTATATTCTTATATCTAATTAGATATTACAAAGCTCATCATATATTCTGATATGATTTTGATCGCTAAAAATGTTGGCTTCGATAGTATTCAAAAAAACTAAATGTAAATTAAACTTATAGTTGAATTATTTTTTATTTTCATCCAAGTTTTTATTTCAAAGGATAAAATGTACCTAAGGTCGCAGTCGAAGTTAACATGATATCTTTGAGTTTGAGAACCTTATAAAAGTAGGAAAAAAGATTGATAAGAACCGTTTTGTTACCATGGTTACCATTTTACGTGGACAACGCCAGAGTAACAAGCAACCTTCTATTTAAAATCAACATTTCTTAATAAGAGCGTTATCAATTTATTTCTTTTCAGGAAAAAGTTTATCAAGAATTGCAAAGTATATTTAACGGAAGGGATGATGTTACATTAGAAGATTTAACAATGATGAATTATTTGGAGCGATGCATAAAAGAAAGTATGCGATTGTACCCGCCTGTTCCGTTTATTAGTCGCACTTTGAGTGAAACAGTTAAATTGAGTAAGTATCATTTTTCGTAACAATTAGGTATAATCATCTAAAGACTTGAGACGCGAATTTCTTTATACTGAAATGTATCTTGATCTTGATCTTTCACGTACCCCGATATTACTCGTAACGTAATAAATTCCCTTCATTTAATACGTGATCTCACATATACCAGAGACAATTCCAAATCGCTTTGTTCATAAAAAGACACAAAAGAACACCGTTATTTATAAGCAAAAACGAGTCTAGTTCCATTCTTTTATTTACGCTTTGATGACAAATGATAGAAGAGTTCTTTAATCAAAACGGTAAATCCGGAATTAGATTATTTGACTAAGAGGGAAGTCTCTCAATACGCTTTACGGTAAAAATGTACAAACCTAAGTGACTTTATATAGTGGAAAAGTTTATCTATAATGTATATGTATGTATGTTATTAAAATTATAGTGGTAGTATATGTATAGACAGAAAAGAAAAATTAACCCCACGTTTTCAGTATCTTTTTATACTTTACCATATTTACTCAAACATTTTCAGGTAACTACACGGTACCTGTGGGAACTATGTGTCACATTCACATATACGACATGCATCGCCAGGAAAGCTTATTTAAGAACGCTGAAAAATTCGATCCTGACCGTTTTCTGCCTGAAAATAGTGTTGGACGACATCCTTACTCGTATATCCCCTTCAGTGCAGGACCTAGAAATTGTATAGGTAGGTTAATATGGGTAGTTAACGTAAAGTAAAGAAACGGTGAAGCTTGGCAAGATCTAGGTTAGGGAAACTTTGCTCATTAACAATAACAATAAACCTAATTACGACTTTTGAGCAACTACTTTCTGTAACTTCCAATAGCTACAGCGATACCGATCCTGACGTTTAGGTAAGCAAGTTCTACGTAGTTCTCTCAAAATCCATAGCGCTGATGTCACGCCTCGTTCCAAAATAATACGTGTTTATATAATTAATAATAAGTTGTAATTTATTTAAAAAATACAATTATCTTAGAAAAAAAAGCAATTGATCAGTATAAAGAAATATTATTATCCTATAATACTAATACATGTGGTTACTACTGAGCCACAGTTTTTGGCTACAGTTAAACCCGGTCTGGATTGGTTTTCTTACCAACTACCATTAGATACTAATTGCAGGTCAGAAGTTCGCAATGATGGAAATGAAGTCAGCGCTCTCAGCTTTACTGAAAAATTACAAGCTGTTACCAGTTACAACATCAAAAGATCTTGAGTTTGTAGCTGATTTAGTTTTACGAAATTCAAAACCTATATACCTTAAGTTTATTAAACGACATTGATAATTGACTAATTGCTATATATTAGATATGTTTAACCCTAAGTAGTATTGTAGTCATATTTATTACCAAGTTTTGTAGTATTTAAATAAAATATCGATTTGTAAATTCATTTTTTACATCTACTTACATAGAATATAAATAAATACAGTGGAATCTCGATATCTCAAATGTCAAGGGAACGGCAAAAAAATTTAGTTTACGAGATGTCGACTTAACAAGAAATCTAATCTAACCTATCAATTCATTTTCTAAAACTATTTCTAGCATTAAGAATATTTATGACATATTGACCTCGTGAGCTGAGATCGCCACTGTCTTGGTAAGAAAACAGATAAAGTGACGAACAAACAAAAAAAATCAAACTCAGTAATATAATGAAGAAAGATTTTAGCACAGACACCAATATTCTTTCACCATTAAGAATCCTACATTGCCCATGCAGAGAAACCGAACGCGTTTTGGCTTGCTTATATATCCCTGGGAGATCAAGAACTGTCTAGGCGGGAGCGCTACTGAGTAGCGATCGCTCAATTTTAGAACGTCCGTACTCTTTGTCTCTTTCGCACATTGCTCCGTCCTTGTCGTACGGCGTTCTAGAGTGCTCAGTCTAGCTTCGAGAAGGTGCCGATCTTCCCTCTCTCTCACTTATCGTACCGTCCTTGTCTCACACCTAGAAAATTCGGTCTAGAATATTCCTTCATCAAATGGGCATAACTAGGCCTGAAAACGCCTGAAAACTCCCTCTGAGTGCCTCCTGTCTCCTGAAAAGTGTACCACTCGACTACACTTGATCTGAAACTGTCTGAAAAATCCTTCAGCCTCCTGAAAACTAAGGTAACATTATGTAAATTACGATTTTCTAATATGTGATTGACCCTCTCCCGAGAAATCACATTTCAGCCTGCTGAAAAGTTCTCTAACTAGTGGAAAAATCGAGAAACATTGCAGTCGACCCGTCTTCGTAACAATATATAATTTATTTGTAATAAACTTTATTTATCTTAACATCATTTTAATAACGAGTTTCGTTAGGGTATTATCAAGCAACAATGTCCGTAATATGCATTAGTTTAAAAGGTCAGCACTGGATTCATATAATGTGCGCGGAGCAAAAACAATGCAATATCCTGTCTTACGTATTAGAAAATAAGTAGTAGGTATATATTATAGAAGAATCAGTTAAACGACTGTATGATGTGTTTTGAAGTCAAAACTACGAATCTTTGGAATAGCGATTAGTTTATTGTAGAACTGCCAAAATAAATTGTCGTTATTAACTTTTTCCACACAGTAATATTTTGTCTTATTAAATTTTTCCATCCAGTGTTATCCAATATAATATACATTAATATAGAATAGAACAACATCAAATGTCAAAGACAAGTTTATTGGGGATAAACGGGCTGGAGGCCGAGTCGATGTTAAGCGACACCGCCGACCTGCCTCTGAATGGATGAAACGTACATTTACTCTGTCAAAAGGCTCGCGAGTGCGTTGCTAACCTTATTTTTCGAACCTAAATGTAACCTCACAATCTATGGAATTTATACGTTTATTGCACGTCAAGCAATAAGAATTTTCCCGCCAACAATTTCAAATAGTTTTATCACATTTAAAAAGGAGTTTTCACAATATACGTAGTCGGTCCCAAAGTTCTGTCATAAATGGAAATAATGATAAAAACAAAAGTACTGATCAGTTTGTAATGAGTGATATATCAATTCTTAGTAAATTAATTAAGGAATAAAAAAAGCATAAAAATATTCGAAATAACCTCCCTCATTTTTAATACAGGCCCTTAAGCGTCGCGGCCAGTCGTCTATCGCAGCACGCACCATATTCGTGTCCATTTCAGTCACTGGTTTTTTTAAAGATGACTTCAGATTCTCCAAATTTTCATGAGGTTTATCACAGACCTTCCTCTCTAAGCCCTGTCATAATTTCTGGTCCAAAGGATTAAGGTCCGGACTGGAGGAAGGCCAATCCTCATGTCTAATTAAGACGATGTTTTGACGCTCAAACCAGGCTTTAGTGGTCTTGGCTTTGTATGCAGACGCAGAGTCCTGCTGGAACACGAAGTGATGTCCCGCAAATAGGGTGCTGGACATGTCTTTGACAAGGCGATACAAAACCGTCTCTTGGTACACTGTAGCACTGGTTTTGACCCCCTTTTCGAAAAATTAACCTCAGTTAGCCCGTAATAGGACACTCCCAACCAAACCATTACTGATGATGGATGATGACCATGTTGCGCCCTTGGAACTTTATTTTCAGCTTCTTCAGAACTCTTAGCGTACACTGTATAATTCTGTTTATTGTACTTCTCTTCAATATCGAAAAATTTTTCGTCCGTAAAGAGGATATCACGGTGTCGGTTTTTCGCGTACCGCTTAAACAACACCCGCGATCTCTTAAGCCTTATTGCTTTTAGACGAGCATTAAGTAAGTGCCCACTCTTTTTTTGTATGCTCGTAGACCAAGATCTTCATTTAAAACCTTTTTTACTGTTTTCCTACTGACACCCATCTGCAAATCCATCAACTTCTGTTTTCGGACAGGATTTCTTACTATCCGCGCCTTGATAGCTTTGATTACTGCTGGTGTTCTTGCGGAGCGTGGCCAGCCAGTTCTTTTCTTGTCCTCAACACTGGAGACTTCAAGGTACCTATCAATAGTACCGTACACAAACCTAAGCGTTATATTCAAATTTTTGAGCAACTTGAAAATGGTACTCGGCGAGTGTCCACAGCGGTGCAACGCAATAACAACTATTCGGTTTACTTTCAATGTCCACTCCATCGTGAAAAATTACGGAAAGTTATTGTTTTTTGTTTTAAAACAATAATCAAACATTCCAAAATAGAATGCAATAATTTTTTTTATAAAATCCTGCTCGAAATGTAGAAATAATGTGCTAGTGACAGAACTTTGGGACCAACTACGTAATCATTTTTAAATGTTTTACTCGAAATAGGTTCAGGCGGTTACTTAAACAGTAATATTATTGCAATGCAAAGTGGGCATTGCTTGCGAGTCGCGTATAACGAACGGTGTACTCGATGTAAACATTAAATAAAATGATTACAATTATATTATTCACATTAGTGTTGATATTATGCTTAGTGGAAGTGTTTGTTAATTTTAATGAAAACGCTAGAACTATAAAGAAAATTCCAGGCTTCAAAGATGTGTTTTTCTTTGGAAATTCCACAACTGTTTTTGGACTGGATTCAGGTAAAAAGGTTTTGAAAGTTCTGTCGCAAGAATGCGTTGCGTAGTTTATGTTAATTATTTTCCTGTTACAGTCGGTTTGTTCAAGTTTGGCAGAGAATGTGCTAAGAAATTCAATGGAATTTTTAGATTCTACAGTTTATCCATAGCATCAGTTCATGTTTTTAATCCCAATGACGCTGAGGTATGTCCGTTTAATATTTTAAATAGTCTTAGTGTGATTTTTTAAAATTTCATCTTGTTAATTTATTTAAGCCTTAAATTATTTCCTGGTTTATTATCTAATTATCCTATGTGTTAGTAAATATCTTTTTCAATTAGTATATATCAGGAACCCTCTCCGGTAAAGGCCTCCTCCGGGGCCTGCCATCTTTATCTATCCCTAGATATTTGGATCCATTACAGACCCGCGATTTTTTTGATGCCATCATCCCATCTAGCGAAGGGTCTGCCTCTGCGTTTGCCAGATGGGCCTCTCCATGTAGTTACTGTTTTCGTCTACCTGTGATCCGTGAAGCGCGCTACATGACCCGCCCTCTTCCTCATCAGTTCCTTTGCGTGGCTTAGAACATCAATTGCTTTCGTCTCTGATTTTATTTTTATGTGTCTTGTGTACCTGTTTAATGTTTAGCATGCTCCTTTCCATGCCTCGTTAACATGATTTATATTGATTTTTTTATTTTTTGTAAAATTTCATGCTTGGAATGCATATGTCAGACATGGAATAAGGCATTATTCCAATATTCTCTTCTTAAGTAAGATCACTCTTAAATATTTCTTTGCAATATTAATATTTATTCCACGTACTTTTAACTCTTCTCTCTATTTCTTGATCATATTTGTCGCTGCTGAATTTTGTTTTGTCAATTTGTTTAGTCAAGTAAATATACTTTTTACCATATTATAATTCCATCTATCTATCACTTATTAATAACAAGACATTTGTATGTAACAGTACTATGATAAAAGATTTTACTAAAGACAAGATATAATTTAGGAGAAGAATGATAAAAATGTAATGTTGTTAAGTAATATACATATATACTTTGATACAGAACACTTATCTTTATAACATGAAAACCAGTTTAATTATAACAATTCCAAGTATCAACTTTGTTACATTCTGTGTGGCCATGGATTGTTCGAAAGTAGATATTATTTTCAGGTCAATATTTTTTTCTGCATAAAACAACTTGTTATAAAGTATGTAGATAATTTTATCTTTCCCTTTCTGATATCTTAAGTTCATTGCACATCATAATATATATATACGTATAATACGGCAAACATAACTGTTTTATTTGTGCATTTTTAATTTTGTATTTATTTAAATATTTGGTTATCTATAGTTTTAGGTTAGTAAATTTCTGTATGTAAATGATTAGGTATATTGATTTTCAGATTGTCATGTCAACTATGAAGCATCATGAGAAAAGTATTATTTATAAATTCTTCAAACAGTGGCTTCATGACGGTTTATTAGTAAGCAAAGGTACAAATTTCTGTTATGGTTCAACTATTTTTTACATGCCAATGGAAATTAAAATTGTTTGCTTTAAGCTTTCCAAAGACTTTTAGACTTTTATCGTTAAAGAGTGTCCCATCATAAATGTGAAATGAATTCAATAAGTTTAATAGTGAATGTGGAAAAGTAATGAAAAGTAAACGAGATCCACTATGCTTGGTTTTTTGAACTTGTATTAACAGGCTGTCGCGTATGGCTACCTAACGCTAAAATATTTTAATCAGCAACAATTTCAAAACAATTT